GGTAGGGAGGTAGGTAGGTAGGGGGGTGGGTGGGTGGGTAGGTAGGGAGGTAGGTAGGTAGGGAGGTAGGTAGGTAGGGAGGTAGGTAGGTAGGTAGGTAGGTAGGTAGGTAGGTAGGTAGGTAGGTAGGTAGGGAGGGAGGGAGGTAGGTAGGTAGGTAGGTAGGTAGGGAGGTAGGTAGGTAGGTAGGTAGGTAGGTAGGTAGGTAGTAAGGTAGGTAGGGAGGGAGGGAGGGAGGTAGGTAGGTAGGTAGGTAGGTAGGGAGGTACTGTATGTGACCACTACATGAACAGTTCCTCATCACTCATCATGTCATCCTTTACTTTATTTCATAAGTATATGTGATGCAATGCGCTGGAGTTTTAGATCATACTTCGATCGACACGGCTGCCAGCGTGTCTGTGACGTTATAAACTACGTGCCACCATGTCATGTACGACGTTGTTATTACTGACGTCACATAATGGCTTGTGCGTTAAAATGTCGTTCACGAACTTCAAGGTTACCGAACCAACAGTGTTGATTATAGTCCCCGTGATCGCCCCGCTGCCGAAATAGTTGTGGAGTTTCCTGTAGTATTTAATGTACAATTACTTATAAAATCGTGGCTGTGGGGTATTCTTCATGAATACAATGTGTGAAGCCCATTATTTGTGTTGTACTGTTTCTGGAATAGGGCTAAAAGCATCGTAAAACATTACTGAATCAATTTAATTTAACAGGCTTCACGCTTTCATGCTGAGGTAAGTATATTCAAATGTGCACGGGTGTATGTATTAAAGATGGACGTGTATCAATAATATATGAGAAATAATATATAAATTAATCGTACACACTATACGTATGTCTTTAATACGTCATAAATGTTCGCTCACTTATTCTCATTTTTATTGTTCACATAAATACATTGACACACTAAGAGTTATGTACAAAACATAAAAAGGTTTTTATTTTTTTGCCAAGGATTTGACCAGATACATTTGAAAGTTATCAAAGTTGTAAATTATAAATGGCTTGTGTAATATACGAGCCTTGGACAGTGTAAGTAAAGAGATGTCTCTACTTCCGTGCCGGAACCATATATTACTCTGACTGACTAATAACGAGATCACGTGGTGACGAAGTAAAACAAAATGGGGGTTGAAATGTTTTTTAAAAAGCTGTAAGAGCCCAAGAAGAGGATTTTCCGTCAGTCACCAAACATATCCTCGTTGTATCACGGCAGCCTGTAAATGATGCAGCAGACAAACCAGTGACTGAAATAATGAGCAACGATCTACAACAATATCCTCCTTGGTCTGCTCTTACAAGCATGGGTGTGCCGAGGCCAAATATTTCCTCGGAAGAAATACTTTCGAGCCCTTACCCCAAAACAAGCCTTCACTATTCATCATTTATTTAAAACGAACACGCTTATAACGAACTGATCGATATAACGAACTTAGTTTTTAGTCCCTGCCATTTTTTACAGATATGCTGTATATATGCTTATAACGAACTACGGTTATAACGAACTAAAATTAGTGGTCCCTTTGAGTTCGTTATAACCGTAGTTTACTGTATATAATTTCAATATTTTGAAAGTTTAGACATTGTGAATGCTACATAGATAATTTATTATGCACTTTATTGCAAAATCCCGTTGGTTCTATCATATACTCCGCAAAAGAAGAAACACATACCTGATAATGATACATGAAGATGTTGTGTAAGATACGTGCTCAGACAAATTGAAAATAAAATGTTTTATTCCAGTAATTATACATTGTGTTTTGATGTTGCATTCCGGATATATACTGAGGGAAACAAATAAGGGAATACATGAAAAAACAAGTGCTCCTTTATTGTTTTCCAGGTTTTGTTCCCAAGCTATGGATGGCGAGCTATGGATGGTAAGCTATGGATGTCACTGTGGGTAAAAATCTGGGAATAAATAAAGGGACACAGCAATGAAATGGTGTTCCCTTTTTTGTTTCCCTCAGTATATTAGTGAAGAAAGATTACAGGTTTGAAAAACAAACATTGACCAATCGCCTGCTCTAAACATAGTAATATCGACATGATATCAGAACAGAACAATTCTATGTATGAACTATTCATCTTTTTAACTGCTAAAATCATATTCATGTGCAACCTCGCATATGTTCTGCATTAAAAACTGTACCAAGAGTTGTACAGCAATGTCATATTTAAACGTTCAGAAGTGGTCAATTAGGCAGTTGCCCTTTGGGACAGAACACTATTCATAAAAACTGACGCAATAAACAGACGTTGGGCAAGATCTCACTTTATGGGGCGGGTTGAGAACAATTTCGAAATGAGACTGTCAACATGTTGTCAGGCAACCGACGTTATCGCGGACACATGGACGGGAATGTGGGCGGAAATGAGTGTTCAACTGATAGAAACCTGGATGTGGAGCTGCATACAGTACATGGTAAAACCTGAGATGTAATACAACATAGCTTAAACAACATACAATTTAATGAGTGTAATTAAGCTGCTTTATCACCGGTGTCATCACAACAAAAAACACACTCAAAATAGTCTTACTTATTGTGAGGTAGAAATGAAAATACGTTCAACAGTTTACAGTGTGGAATGTATATCCATTAAATATGCACGTAATATCAAAATATTTATTAAAACTCAACAATGTGACATCACACGCTCTGAGATAATATCGGATTGGTAACAACAGACATTTCACACAATCGTTATCATTACTTTTAGAATGTTCCGTGTACAATACGTCGGCTGGTTAAAGCTCGATGCATCTTGAGTGAGTGAGTGAGTTGGGTTTAACGCCGTTTTTAACAGTATTCCAGTTATATCGCGGCGTGTCAGCTTAATGTGGGAGAAAAGCCCGAAGTGATGCAGGTCTCAGACGTTTATCATTTCGGTGAAACCCATGAGCACGGGTATGGTGCTGACAAACCTAGAAACATGATCGGGGCGAACCGGGATTCGAACCCACAATCATAGGTTTCTGGCGTGTCAACGGGACGCAACTCTGCACATCAAATCGCGGCGCCTTAGACGACTGGGCCCCCGTGCCCCCCGATGCATCTTGAGAATCGTAAACAACTATAATAATTAATGATGATGATGCAAAGGGTTTTTCATATTTTATTTGAATTGAGAAATGTGGTTCCAACAATATCCAATTTTATGTTGACCCTAAGATATGTATACGTTTCCATTCAAATAAGACTGTTGAAAATCTCATACACATATATACATGTCATGTTATGCACCAGTGGACCAGTGACTTCTACCGAGCACCTATTTTTACCATTGTAGACAACCAATTCTGTTGATATTCAGTATATATGTTGTTCAACACTTGTCACCATCACAAAGCTGTATTTTAGATTAAACGCATACGTTAATATGCAAATTACAAAATAGGACTTTGTGTGTTTGCACATCACAACGATGGGGAGGCGAGATAAACAGACGTGGGGCAAGATCTCACTTTATGGGGCGGGTTGAGAACAATTTCGAAATGAGACTGTCAACATGTTGTCAGGCAACCGACGTTATCGCGGACACATGGACGGGAATGTGGGCGGAAATGAGTGTTCAACTGATAGAAACCTGGATGTGGAGCTGCATACAGTACATGGTAAAACCTGAGATGTAATACAACATAGCTTAAACAACATACAATCTAATGAGTGTAATTAAGCTGCTTTATCACCGGTGTCATCACAACAAAATACACACTCAAAATAGTCTTACTTATTTCGGTCAGAGACGTCACGTGACACACAATTCAACTGATTTACTGATTCAACCTGACGTCATGACGGGATATGTGTTAAAACCTTCCCTGGTGGGAATAACGTACTACAGTAAACATTATCTACATGTGATTTAGGAGTGTAAATATATAATCAGAGCACCAACACAGCTAGATCCAAAAATGGCACTTTAAAAAACATACAAAGCATGCAGCATATTTGTCATTTCAATGTCATAAGGATTTTTAACTAACTACAACATTAAACAAATACAATATAACTTTTTTCTGACGTAAACAATATCATACATAACAATGTATATACGTATTTAAAAAAAAGAAGGAAAAATGTCAAAAGATGTGAAGAAATAAGATAGAAAATATAATAACAGATTCGTTTTTACCATCACAATTTGACAAAGTAAGCCAACGAAAGCAAAGGTTTGAGGTTTGATACGTAATGTAACATGTAACCTGACACGTAAATAAACACATCAACGCCAGACATTCACTTTCTTCACACGACACCAGTGTTCCAAGTGTGTAGAAAAATTAGTGACGCTTATAATATGCTCGTATTAGGATTAAACAATAATAGGCAATAAAATATGGACAGTAGATTATATAAATATTTGTTTGTATATATATATATATATATATATATATATATATATATATATATATATATATATATATATATATATATATATATATATAGAAAAAGCACAGTAAAGTTCTAACTCTCAGGCACAATAGAGTAATAATTAAATAAGTGGAGTAAGATTGAACACAGTTTTAATTGGCTAGCGCTTTCAACTCGGACCACGTATGAGTCTCATCAAGTCATCACTGAATATATATATATATATATATAAATGCGGTATGTGAAAGGTTTATTTAAAATAATCCAAACCAATCGTACTGGTTGCATACGTCTTGCAGAACAAAGGTGATATCCCTAGGTCTTTATAATAACTGTTCGATTGTAACGGTTCTTCTTGAAAGGATTATATAAATCAATTGTCTGGTCTATCAATTGATTGTCTCGACTCGATGGTGTTCAGGCCGCCGTCGTGTGGCAGGTGTTCTGCTGTAGGGAGTCAGGCAACAAACACAAACTTGTTTAAGCCCCCCCCCCCCCCCCCCCCCGAGAGTAGCGGGTGTGCAACCGGTAGTGCAGGACATGTTTACCCTTTTCACTGATTATCAGTGATCCGTTCACAAATGTTTCATTGCTTTTTTTACTTCAACACTGAACTTTGACACAAATGTTTCTTTTAAGCAATACGTTATGTATGTATATGTCATCTGTCATCTGTCATCTGTCATTCCACTTACATTAAATAACGTTATTGGTTAATAACCAGTGACTCCATCCAATGTAACTGACGTTGTTCTTTAACTCTCGTCATCTTTAAAGCAATAAGTTCCCTTTGTTTTCCGAAATAGGTGGCTGCATTGTATTTCCATGAATATACTCATCTATTCACCTTTCTTGTAAGTTTCGCACTGACTATAATTTGTAAGTTTGTTATTTTTTTTATACATTTTTTTGGTGGGTAGACCTGCAACCTGCATCACTTCGGGATTCCAGCGGTGCTAAAACAAACTCACTCACTCCTTACGACCAAATTTGCAGATGAAGCATACAACCGCGACCACTACAATGGCAATGCAGCCGAAAGTAATTCCAACAATGAGGCCAACTGGCATTGTATATGGAGTTTCTGAAAAAACAAACATATTACATGACAACATACATTACATGTAATGTCATTTCTGGTTAATTTCAAATCTTAAAAGCAAAGTACAGCATTATGAAGAGAAAGAAATGATAAAGTGTGGTGTTTATTTTATTCGCCAGTGGGCATATAAACGAACCAGTATTGATTACAGTAGTCTTTCCTTCAGTTGCATTTCTTTAGAAAATTAACGCACTCAAATCAGGATAAGCATATACATTAGAACACCTTGTTATATATATACATTAAGTTTAGCGGTTGAAATAAACATCAGTAAGTCTACAAATAGTAGTCATGTATGAAATAAATTAATAGGAGTAGACACTGTACCTTCCCTATTGTCCTTATATTTGATCCGATATCCTTTGTCGCCGACATTCGAGTCTGAGATAAACATGACCAACACTTCATTACCAGTCGACTGGACTTTCAACAGCGTTTGGCCACAGGCTCGTCCCAGACTTGGGGCAGCAGAACTTGGTCCTGCATAACACACGTGAAGCAGTTCTTTAGGCATGTAGTTATAAAATCCATTCTTTTCAAGGATAGATATTAAACCAACGGTCTGTGTGAGCAGCCTAGATCAAAGGATGTGTGGTTACTGACGAACGGAAATTGAGCAAATTAGGTGCATGACTGTCCGGCCACAACACCTGTAAATAAAAGCCACAAAAAACTTTCCAAAATCATACGAAATCTCCATCAAATACTGATGATACCAGGTGTTCGTAAAAAGGTGAGCGTGTCCTGCCCGACGGTGGCTTCCGTCACAACACCTGCAAAGGCAAGGCAAGCGTTCACCTAAATGAACAAGTCTGGGGAATTGCATAGGGCATTGTTTTGATCTAGTTAGTAAATATCCACCACACGTCTACCATAAAAGATTTTGAAAGCCTTTACCAAGGCCTTGAATGCTGTAACCCTGATCAAACAAAGAGTCGCGTGATTTTCTTCTTGAACTCTTCGTAGAAAGAGCACGCTCGGTTGTACGTCAAACCTTCGAAATGTATCCACTAAAGACTGGGGCTGCTGAATATTCACCACAATAAGGGAAAGTTGATCATTGGAAAGATGATGTCATTCCTCCTGTCATGCAGTCTTGTGGAGAGTGTTTTAAAACTCTGGAATTTTATGCACAGATCTAAATATGAAACAGATGAGGCCGTTCCACTGGACTCTTATATTTTTAGTTCAGGTGTGTATATCGAGGGAAGGGATCAACTATGTAATAAGGGATCAACGATCTACATGAAGCTTACGGAAATTTTCTTTGCCAAATTGTTTTAAGGATTATGGTTGAGACAAGGATTTGGTGGTACATTTTCTAACTCCTGCAATATATCTCTCTTGGTACGGACTATTATGGAGCTTTGGAATCTAGAATAAAAATGGAATGGACATGTCTTAAGATTTCAAAGTCAAGCCAAAGGTTGACAGTACTGATGAGTGGTTAAGAGAGATTTCTTCCTCAGATGACATACTTGTGTGTGGCATTAGTTTATATGTCTCTAGTACCGAGGTCTTTGATCACACAATTATTGTAGTGATGCTTATATATAAGGGTTAGCTTCGAAGCCTTGTCAGTGGGAACTGCAAACTTTTCCTGTAGGGCAGCCAGACTATGGATGGCAGCTGGCTGACTCAATTATTGCATCTCCCTTATTCAAGTCGTGTATATCTATCTAGACATTCAATCAGAGATGTAGCATGTTTTGTAATACACAGCTGCGTGTTTAAATATGTGCAATAGTTCCTTACAATAGGCGAATAGCTTTCCCTGTGTAATATTTCCATTTGGGCGATCAATAATTGCCACATGTTACTCAACAATTCAATTAGCCACTGGAAAGCAGGGTTATAGGACGCACAACAACAGCTGTCTCCAGTAGTACCTCACATGATGACATGAATGGGGAAATGTTTAATAAAGTTAATATTTCTTCGGGTAGACAGTTGTAGTATCAACTCACCATCAAAGAACTCCACATAGTCTCTGGTGCAGCCCGTGTCCTCGGGGTGGGGCATGTTCATGTCTGTCACCTCCAGCTGGATGTAGTGGTCGTCAAAGATAGACTTCACTAGGGTGGAACAGTTCATCATGCTGACGGAGAGAACATACCACTTTACACTGCTATGTGACTTGGAGAAAGTATGTGAAAATTAAGTAATATAATACCTCTGATTAGCCCTGCTTATGTGCCCTGTTTGCAGTCAGCGCATGCCACAGCAGGTCAGTTTTCACCAGATTTGACATTTGTCAAGGGAATTCAGAACGCCTGTCATGAAAAATAATTCCTCTTATACTACTAGCCAGGGACCGGATTATGTCTGTTCACAGTTATATGATCCTGCTTTGTGTCTAGCTCGGTAATGAACGATGAACTCTGGAACGTCTGCTGACCACGTGTTTCTGACCGGCCGACAACTGACCAACGTTACTGACCTGCCGACCTCACGTTACTGACCTACTGGCCACGTGTTACTGACCTGTTGACAACATGCTACTGACCTGCTGACCACGTGTTACTGACATCATGACCACACGTTACTGACCTACTGGCCACGTGTTACCGACCTACTGGGCACGTGTTACTGACCTACTGGCCACGTGTTACTGACCTACTGGCCACGTGTTACAGACCTGCTGACCTCACGTTACTGACCTGCTGACCACACGTTACTGACCTGCTGACCTCATGTTACTGACCTGCTGACCTCACGTTACTGACCTGCTGACCACACGTTACTGACCTGCTGACCTCACGTTACTGACCTGCTGACAACGTGTTACTGACCTGCATTCCTCACGTTACTGACCTGCTGACTACGTTTTACTGACCTACTGGCCACATGTTACTGACCTGCTGACCACCTGTACGGACCTACTGGCCACGTGTTACAGACCTGCTGACCTCACGTTACTGACCTGCTGACCACACGTTACTGACCTGCTGACCTCACGTTACTGACCTGCTGACCACACGTTACTGACCTGCTGACCTCACGTTACTGACCTGCTGACAACGTGTTACTGACCTGATGACCACCTGTACTGACCTACTGGCCACGTGTTACTGACCTGATGACCACATGTTACTGACCTGATGACCACATGTTACTGACCTACTGGCCTCGTGTTACTGACCTACTAGCCACATGTTACTGACCTGCTGACCACCTGTACTGACCAACTGGCCAAGTGTTACTGACCTGCTGACAACGTGTTACTGACCTGCTGACCACACGTTACTGACCCGCTGACCACACGTTACTGATCTGCTGACCACGTGTTACACTTTTACTCAACAAAAGATTTAACCCATATAATTTCCAAATATAAAAGGGGTTGTGTTTTTCATGTAATATGCTTGTTCTTGGCTTCAAGGGCCTCGGGAATATATATATATATATATATATATATATATATATATATATATATATATATATATATTCAATACAAACCTTGTATACAACAGGCCTTCCAATTCATTATCGATTCATATCAGGGGCAGACCATTTGATATTCGGATAAATTGCCCCATATAATGCTTGAACAATTATTTTAGTCTTCAGACTTGAAAAAAACAAGAAAATGTCAAAAAAATTACATTGATGCAAGGTGGCTTTTCTTTCAAATACATTTAAACTCATAGTTTTAATTAACAAGATGTCTGAAAAATATCCAGTTTCTATACAAATCTCCAAAACACAACATCGACACAACAAACTCCACTTAAACATCACAACACTCACCAAACAAGTACACACGACCTCTGATACAGGACAATGAAGCTGGCAAGGGTGTGGTCGGTTTGACGTTACTTATACCCATTGTTTGATTCACAACACCACATCCGCTACACAACTGTCACTATCTGCAAATACCTATTACTTACTTGGGATAAATGTCTGGAAACATAGGCGAATAGAGATCATCGGAGTCGATGAGAAGAGCTGTTTTCTCCACAGTGTCACCGCTGCAACCCTCTGATAAAATCATTCATGGATGAGAATGAGAAACATTCATACATAGGAATAAGCCTTACCACCACATGATACTGTGATGTTTCAGTCGCATCACTACCTGTCAGTTAAAGTGTGGAGAGAAGACTATATGCAGAATATGGGGACGTTACCTCTGTAATCAAACCTTTAAGTGTGGCATGGTAATGACACCCCCGAATATATGATATATTGATATTTAATAAATAGTGTAGAACGCCTTCAAAACAAAGTCTTGCAAGTATTATAATGTGCTTTAGTGAGAATGTTAAATGCCCAGTTTCTTGCTTATGCGCATACGGCTTTTGGTACTTGATTTTCCAGTGGTCTTTGAAGTGGTACTTCATCTTGATAAGGAATTTATAATAGAAATTATTTGTAATATATTTGTAACAAACCAAATAACATCCCATTGCATTTATACATAGAATATTTCACCAATTTCGCCCATCTCTGCAATGGGAAATTTTGAAATACAAATTCCCCCGCGGAACTATCTTAAAAAGAAAATATGAACTTTATGAAGCACATTTGGTATCATCTAGTCGAGATATGCCTCTGTTTGTGAATGGGTACCCGAGAGTACCCGAGAGGATGAGATTGTAATGTGACTGTCAACACGCAGCATGTTGTGTATACTCCCTAGGGAGCTGAGAATGAAAACCGTGTGCACACGAGGACATATCTTTGGCGCATTATAAATGGATATGCATAAAAATATATTATTATTAAAACATATTTTGTCGCCCGGAAAAGTTGAAGAATAACAGTTTTCCAGACGAAAATCAAGTCCCCACCATCGTAAACTGATCAGTGCTTTAATATGTTGCATCTACATGTATTAAATATTTATTAATAATCGGTATTTGTGAAATCCGGTCATTTACGCTTGAAAATGGGTCGAATACATGAGGAATTTATGTAAATTTCAGTATTCGTAATTTCAGCATCTCATTGTGTAAGATTTGTACACGGGACAATGAGTTATTTTGCCTTCACACGTTCACATTGTTTTCTTCTTATAAACAAATTCTAAACAATATGTAAAATAAGGCGTTGAATATATTCTTTAACTGACAGCAAAATATAGTCTTTACGCGTGCACATCTTTAGTGAAGCGGAGATCAGCAGAATACCGAAACAACAGACGGTACCAGGTCATGAGTGAGTGAGTGAGTGAGTTTGGTTTTACGCCGCCTTTAGCAATATTCCAGCAATATCATGGCGGGGGACACCAGAAATGGGCTTCACACATTGTACCCATGTCGGGATTCGAACCCGGGTCTTCGGCGTGACGAGCGAACGCTTTAACCACTAGGCTACCCGACCGCCCCCAGGTCATAAGTAAACACGACAAACGTGTGTTGATGTTACACATGTATATATTAAGAACGGCCCATAAAGAACACATACGGTTCAATAATAATATAATAATAATAATAATAATATCCTTTGATTTGAGAATTCTGATCCTTTTAGGGTAACATTATACCTCCTTTCAGAACTGTAACGAGCGATTGGTGTCATATATTCCTTCAAAGGTAACATATACAGATCATGTAATGCACTCCTAACTATTGTCTACAAATAATAATGTATTATCCTTTCAGGTAAGAAGGCCACATGAACATCTCTATCAGAACACGATGCCAAAACTGAAAGGGATAATAAGTTGATGATGTAAAAGAAGGGGGTTGATTTCAGCCCAACAGATAGTGGTCCTCGCCTTGGATGGGTGTTTTCTGGCCTAGAATCCTGAGCCTCGGCTCAAGGCATTTGAGAGTGGAGTTTTAAGGGATTCATTTGAGCCTGTTACGCCTGGTTCCTTCAACCAGTCGAAGAATGTATGACACTTGCTTCACTAGCTTTCAATAAATAAACTAACCTTTGCATAACACATTTACTTCAATAACAGCATAACTGCATACAGCTATATTCGTGAAGATTCCGGGGTAGAATAGGTCTTCAGCAACTTCATGCTTGTCGTAAAAGGCGACTGACTGATCGGGTGGTCATGCTCGCTGATTTCTTTGATGCATGCCATCGGTCCCAACTGCGTGGACCGATGCTCATGATATCAATCACTGTCTGGTCCAGACTCGATTATTTACAGACCACCGTCTTATAGCTTGACTATTGCTGAGTGCGGCGTAAAACAACAAACAAACAAACAAAAACATTTTCACCGATGTCTGAATTGAATAACAGATTCATTTGTCAAAGGTCATTGGGTGACGTGTCATCTATTGTTGTCCACTTACTTAAGGTTCCGTATGTCGGTCGTGAATATTCAGCTTTAAATCCTCGTTTAGCCAGATTGCTGTCTGTCCTGAGGACCACAGTGAGTTCGTTGTCTCGGCTGACGAACTTTCCTGTTTCGTTACCACAGATCTTCGAAAACTCACTAGATGATGTATTGCCTGTGAAATAGATTGTAATCATAGTTCATTTAACCTTGGTTGTTAGGACCGCCCCCGTAGTCTAGCGGTAGAACGTCTGCCCGAACAGCGGACGGTCGAGGGTTCGAACCCTGCCGCATCGTACCAATATGGGGTTAGAGCAAGGACTGGTAGGCTCGGAGTCAGTATACTGTGTCTGAGTGGGTTATTCATGTTAAACTGCGGCATGGCGTTTCAGTGGGCTGGCACTATACATGATATGGTCTAGTACAAGGAGACACACACACACACATGCATTCACGTCCTTCATGGATAAATACGATGTTATATGGACATATTTAGTAAGAGGTGCTAAAGTCCTTTCCCGCTTTCAATATATGAATCAATGAACGTGTTTTGATTATATGTATTTTCTTGCTCCTGCCCCGTCCTGTTGAGGTCAAGCAAGGAGAAGGAAAACGCACAAAGCCATATGGACAGTCTTGTATGTCCGTATACCCTGACACCCAACGTTGATACGGACAGAGAAAGAGCAACTGGCACGGCGTAAATTAGTCTGTCTCCTAAACCGTAGAGAGAAAAAATGCAAAAACGAGTCAAACTCAAATCTAGAATGATTTGGTAAGTCTGGATTGCCTCAGCTCAGAAATTAAGGATTGTTCTGGGCTCCATTTGGATTCTCTTTTTTTTGTAGATATATATTTTTAAGTAACATAACTTTATATCTGGCACCAAATGTCAGTCTAGGTGTAGGTCTACTACGCTTAGTCTCCCAATCTCATTACAATCAGATCTTTAGCTATGGCTTAACGAAGATCTGAGGACATCCCGTTAGGGGTTACGTCAGAACGACTTTTCCTCCGATCAATGAAAGCGTCGCTTACCAGATCATGAAAGTGACAGTCGGAATGTGTTTTCTAATCATGCAACCTCGAAAACGTTAACACGGAGTATTCCGAACGACAGTTACGGCCCGAAGAGCTGATTCCGTCAAAATTATCTCTCGCTTCCGTGGGATAAACATTTGAACGGAGGAGGCGTTGCACAGTAGGTGGGAAGCATGCCTACAATCGCAACCATATATTAGACATTCCGGGATGTTCGTTTGTTCAGTTTTAATTCTTTTAATCGAGAACTGTGTCAACATATTTTTCAAGCGTAGTCTGAAATGGAAGTCGTCAGGTTGGAACTAGTGTCGTAAAGCCCGAGAAAGCTGCTTTCTTATTGGCTGATGTCGACTTCAAGGTCGTTCTGACGTGACCAGTAATGGGATGTCCTCAGATTTTTCTTTACCGGCAGCGAGAACTTAGATCTGATTTTAATGATATTGCTTAGTCTCCCAAATTAGGCCTAAGCTTTGTTCAAATGGTTACAGTCTCAGGTATAATGGCCGGTGATGTGTGCAAGAGTGGTGGGTTCATTTGTTTCAGCCTTCACTATTCAGAGTGAGTGAGTGAGTATGGTTTTACGCCGCTTGTAGCAATATCACTCTGCGTGACGAGCGAACGCTTTAACCACTAGGCTACCCGACCGCACCTCACTATTTAGAGGAACTTCAATCGGTCCATACTGCCGCAAACGTGGAAGGCGACTGCGACTCCTCTGTATATACCTGATATGATGTAGGTACCTTGATAAACCATAATGTAATTGTTGTTGCAGTCGCCAGCATCTCCAACATCAACCTCCAGGAAAGATAGCAGCACTTCGTAGCTGGCATATTTGGAACGCACTGTCCAGGTGGCGTCAATGTCTCTGAAGAAAATGGCCGCTATATTTACTTTGTATAAATTTAAATCAGCTCATACCTAATACTTTTTGAGCGAGTCAAGTCATATGTCAAACAAACATGGAATAGTTTCTAAGTTTCCAAAAGTTAATTTCCGTATCGCTAACGACAAAGGACACCAACATATAAACCTCTTTGAATATAAACAACACTTTTCCGCGGCGCAATAATAAACTTATAGTCCAGCTCATCCTCTATATCTCCAGGACTCGTTTTCCATTCCCGTGGTTTTTGTGATCATAAATTATTCAAATTTGATTTGCTACGCAACTCAGTATAACAGGGGGCACGGGGGGGGGGGGGGGGGGGCAGTCGTTAAAGCCGCCGCGATTCGCTGTGCAGAGTTGCGTCCCACGCCAGAAACCTATGTGGGTTCGAATCCCGGTTCGCCCCGATTATGTTTCTAGGTTTGTCAGCACCATACCTGTGCTCGTGGGTCTCACCGAAGTGGTAACCGTCTGAGACCTGCATCACTTCGGGCTTTCCTCCCACATTAAGCTGACATGCCGTGATATAACTAGAATACTGTTAAAAGTGGCGTAAAACCCAACTCACTCACTCGCACACTCAGTCTAACGGACCAATCAGAAAGCGAGTTACGAACCAGCCTCAATGTGTGAATGAGTTAGCGATATCAACAACATGTAGGCCAGTCCCATTTTTGCGATAGAGTTTGCTAGAAATTCAAAATTGAAAAACTGAAACGGAAAAGAAGCCCTCAAGAATCTCTCTGATGGAAAGGATGTTTTCATGGCCATTAAAATTGGCGTTGGCAAGTCCTCCTGTACCCATTGCCTTTTTCCTTTTCTCGACGTTTGATTGGTCGGCAAATGATTAATGAAAATCAAGGGCGGGTAATTTGGGATCGCGATAACCAGGGGTTAGTGTAGGTTTAGTGGGTCCAGGGGGTAGTGTAGGTTTAGGGAAATGCGAGCCCTTGAGATATAGAAGATGGTGCCATCTTGCATTCATATCTCTGATTATCACTACCACCACTTTTTAATGAACAAATGTCCACAATGTCGATGCCATAACTGCAACGAAGTCATTCTGCGTCGAGCAATTTCAAGCTATTAAGTTTTGGAAAAAAACAACATTGTTTTACAACTGTCCTTGAAACATCCTGCCCCGCGTTGCTCTGAGAGCTTCTGCACGTGATATTATAAGTAGGTTTGTCCGAAGGAGTTATGCCCTCTTACTTCACTTTTCCATCTGGAAATCTTGGCGATAACAAGGTGGATGCACTTGTAAGCTTGATTTCAGCAAAACGATGCACAGGTGGCGTATCTGAAATGAAACAACATTTATAAAAAAAATTGTAGACGATAACCGTTTTTTAATCGTCAAGTACCATCCTTTAACGTATCTTGGTATGACGCGGTCAGGGGCTCGACCTTCTGCTCTCCGATAGGACGCCTTATCCACTTCATCACGGAGGCCGGACAAAGCAGGATGGGCCATTTCTGACCAAATGGAATTGTCATTTGTATTGTTACAACACTAAACTAAGGCCTCGGAATTATCAAGTACGTAAGAAAATGAGTAAAACAGTCCGTCAGCATTGTGAGAAACCACAAAAAAACGGATTGGGACAAAGGTTTGCTCATTTTAAAACATATGAAAACACTTCCCGAAAACCTCCAATTCACCCTATGGACACATTTTAGCCTTTCCATTATAATTAGATCTATTGTAAATCAGAAACGAGCGAACTCTCATTCTCATTTATATCCACACCTGATATTTTGTTTACGATTTCTACATGTTTTGTTTCGTAAATATATTATACAGATGCTGTGATCCTTAGCATAGCCTTGTCCTTTCAGAAGAAGACTGAACGAGTGCAGGTATATATGCTGCTGGTGGCAATGCTCAGCGCGTGCATTACCTTGAGTTCCCACGTGGGGACTCTAGCCAAGAATGCTAGAACGTCGTCCAACTCACAGACAAAGAAGATGGTATTAGCTAAGACTCGGCAAATTCAATGTGGTCACACCTTAATTATAAAGCACAAACTTTTCATATTTTGGCTTCATTTATCAGTGTTTTCATACTTATCGTAAGCATTGTTTTCATAATTGTTTTGGTGAACTATTCGTATAACTGAGTAATAAAATCTGATCATTTTTTTCAAAAGATTAAATGTATGGATTTTTTTCAATTTTGAATTGGTCATTTCTTTTATTGAAATAATAACGTAGACTGCCAATTGCTTCTCTATAATCATGACAGAAAGGGACTAAATAGTATGTGTCCGTAGGTTGTTGTTTTGTAATATAAAGATGATTTACCCTGTGTTTCTTCGTATCCAAACACAAAGCCTGGTTTGTTTAGAGTAAACTGCCAATATTTGTCAGTTGTAAACACCACGGTGAGAGACGCCTCTTGACTGGAGAATGTGGGCTTCTCCGTTCCAAGTACTCGACCCACTAAGAAGCCGGAAGTGGAGTTACCTGACGGGATACAGTAATGAAAGCAAATTACGCCATACATAAATTATTAGTTGGTCATCGAAAAAAAAAGGTTATTGCTTTGGCTAAATAATCGTATTGGTCCTCAGGCACCGCCTCATCATCATAAAGACCGCCTAATGTTTCGTTTATATTTTAATTAAATAATGAAAGATTCAAATTTTCCGCGACTCGAACACCCGACCTCGGCAATGAAATGCTGCATTACAAAATATTTAGCAATTTAGCTCGCTGTTACTTTACATGCGCACAGCTTTATTGCGCATCTTTTGTTATGATCACGTGGCTATTTTAAACACTTTCCGTTTTCCAAGGGAGACAACTCATCGCAACTGCCCGATTCGCGTCTGAGATCACAAGCTAGTTATAGTCAGCTAGTACGCGTGTCAAATACATCTAATGACACTCTGATACAAAGACATGGCATCAATTTTACAATATTAATCAGCGCATATTTCGTCAGTTGAGTGATCACGTCGTTTATATGTTTACCTTAGTCGTGGCTGACGTCATATGTGTATTGAGACGGTAGTCATACCGTAATTCTGTCGGACATTTATAATATAGATAGAACCCAGCCACCGTAATGTTAACCATCTTAGCGCTCCTGTTCTTTGAACACTTGTCTTCATACGTACTTCATACTTGGTCAATGAAAATATGAAATTTGCGATAACGCACCCCCAAAAAATGATTATTCAAAATTTGAATATATTTATTTATTGTATGTTAGACATTGGTTTGATACGCAGAGATTAGATTTACCGTTTTCATTTTTCTCCTAAAATGAGCCGGAAATATCTATCAGCTGTGCACAGAGTATCTCCCTATCTTCGTGAGAAAATACCCAATAGCTTAACTAATTTTCTTTTGTCATGCAATGATTGGAAGACATTGTATCTCTAACGACTAAAAGTTCGTTTCACTGCGTTACAAGCGTTAATCGGATAATGCTTTCTGTAAATAAAGGTGCTATCAGTTCATGAACGATGTCGCCGAAATTAATGTAAACAATGAAACCTTGAATAAAACTACTGTACTAGATTGCAAACCTAAGTCCAGATACCCATGTTCAAACAAACGGGTATAATAACAGGATTAACTTGCATGCATATTTCAGTTCGGATTTGGTGACTTGCTCACGGTAACGTCTTTGTTTTTGGAAACAAAATCGAAACTCATTGTATGCGTGTTTGCGCACCCCCTCTACACATCTGTATTTTTTTGTAGAGAAAAAGGTGTGCACTATACACAAGAACATTCGGTAGCCAAATATTCAAGAGTACCCTTTTATTTTTTGTGATATTACTTTAATATCTATGTTTGTTATTGATATGTGTTTTGTGTTATTCTAAGATTTGTTCACCAGTTTTATAAGCGTTGGTAAATGGGGAGATTGTGAATTTTTGTTAAGAAAAGTACTAATTCACTGGATATATCATATACCACAGTTCAAAAGCTTGGTATTCCTGCCTGAAGAGTAACCATGGTGACCACCACAAGCTGTTTGAACCTGGACCATTTCATCAATGAATACATTTAATTTTATTTGGTTTCATACTAGTTTGGACCAATTTCAAAACGCCATTGCGTGGCGGCTGAGGCCTAAATAATAACACCAAGAAATGTGTTCCCTGCCAAGGTTCTGAAGGACAAAAGTAGAAGAACCCATCAGTTGTTTAAATGGATGTAAAATCTTGGATAATAACAATATGCTTCACAGATTAACCTTGAAAGATTACCTTTTCATTACCATTTATATCATGAATGCCTAATTTCAAATCTCCCCCAGCTCGCTCCTCCTCACATACATTTTAATTACACTCCACCAGCATACCTGCTGTTACTTACGAACATGTAGTTGTGTATATGGACCTACGTCTCTCGTTACTTAGTTGGTGTCCACTAAGAAGAACTTTACGTACCGTCATATACCTTCACAACGTCAGTCTCAAATAATCTGTACAGCTCTACTTCCAAAAAGGAGACTATGACGTTTCCTTGTGGATTCTCGGCTGAAATAGTCCAGGAACATGTCACGGAGCTGAAAAACAACCGACCACCTTATACAGTTTCGTTGTGTAGAAATGTCGCCCTGAACGAGGGTTGTGTGAGCCCTGAGTCCTGAGCCCCACAAAGAAAGATTTACGTAATTGTGAGATCGTTACATTACATATACACATATGTCCACAAAAACCCGAGTCAATTGAGCAAATTATGTCGCTGCGACAAGGCAGTAAAATAAGCAGGGATCTGTGATCTTTGGAATAAGGACAACTTTGAGGAACGTATAATGATCAAGTTCTTGCAGAAAAAGGGATTAAAACCAAACGTTCTTTTAAATTTATGTCAACCACAAGGAAGGATCCCTCTTCCTATGCCACCGTAAGATGAGAGTGAGTGAGTTGAGTTTATCTCCGCTTTTAACAGTATCACAGTCATATCGCGTTGGTCAGCTTAATGTGGGAGGAAAGCCTACAGTGATGCAGGTCCCAGACGTTTACCACTTCGGTGAAACCCACGAGCACAGGTATGGTGCTGACAAACCTAGAAACATAATCGGGGGAACCGGGATTCGAACCCACAATCATAGGTTTCTGGCGTGCCCAAGGAACGCAACTCTGCACAGCGAATCGCGGCGCCTTAATGTTTCAAACAAGGTAGGGCTCGTGAGGTGACAAATTCATTTCTTGCTCAAGCCTTAATGGACCAATTAATATTAACACAAAAGAGCCCATCAACAGATTGCTTTTCACAAACTCTTGCAGGAATGAGTGATGGTTAAACAGACATAATCAAATTTCACAACAGTTCTTTCAGTTTCCAATTACATTAAAAATGAACTCCGTATACTATCTTTCGCCCATCAGTCTAGTATGGAGTAAGCAAAAGTTGGAACCTGGTGCAAATTTAACTGGGCGGGCGTTCATGTGAAAAATCAGTGTTGCGATGGGGATATTCGCCATCTGTTGTGTCAAATCACATCAACGCGTGTGAAACTTTTATACACCGTTAGATAAGCGTGAAATGGGGGTGTGATCAAGAGAACAGTCAACAGGAACAGATAAACACAATGCATTTACATGTATGCATTGTTCCACTTACTTGGGATAGTTGGTAGGGTATCCTGGTGATGTAACATTCTGCATGGTAGAGTTGGCAACGAGACTGCCCCCGCATGGCTCAGCTGAAGAGAACAATAACCACACTTTTAACAGATGACCTGTCGGACGCGCTGATACAATATGTTTTGTTGTGAAAAGGCAAAACACACTGGCTGTTGCAAGCGTGCTCGCGAACCTTATTTTAGTTTGATTGGTCTTAACGACTATTTTTATAGACAGCTCATTCTTAGCCAACAAGGTATTAATATAAACAGCAAAAGGATGCCACAATAAGGCAGTGTGTGGTTTATATGTTCTTCGGGGTGGACTGGTTTTCATAAATAGAATAAAAAATATTTCACCCAGTGACTTACAAATTGTCACCATATTAATGCATCTTGCGACAGTAGCAGAAATTATTTCAAAGGACATAACCCTTAGCGGATTGACTATTCATTATTTATTGCCAGGTTTAAAAGTTGGGATGAGTCGATGTATTTGTGTTGAGTCTGTGAGAAAGACAAACATACAAAACAACAGAATAGATTAGTATACCTGTAGTGTAGTAATACTTCAGCTTAAAGCCTTGTTTTGTATTATTTTCTCTCAACGATTTGAACTCAATCCTTGCTGAAAGGCCGTACACATAGAATGACCTAGGCCCCTCGCAAGCAGTCCCTACAAGCTTCTTGGCACTTGTTATCGCTGAAACACAAAATGCACGTGGATGGTTAGAATCAATTTATGAAAGAGACAATTTCACCGGAAGAAATGAACATAAATGGAGACACTCACTACTAACTACATATAAACTGAAGTTCTGAAAACAAACAGGTGTTTCTATATGGCTGCCTTGGCGGCCACGTTGAAATTGGACTCGAGCCTCTTGATGTCATCATTTGAGAGGAAGAACCAGCTTCATCTGTGCAAAGGTTTTAGAGATATTTTCACGATGGATGAAGGCCGACAGACGACGGACAAACAGGCCATGATATGAGCTCGCTTGACATATAACCAGATATACAAACATGAAAGAAAGTACCAATACAATATATACCATAAAACAAGTTATTCACGGGAATATTCACATCTTATTATACGGACTAATTTCTTTTAGAATAACTAAATGAGATGTTAGCTTACACACAGTCATCCCGGTAGATAGATTGGTTAATATTGTGCAATCACTCATGTCCCATAGAGAGTATTTTATGAGTGACATAAATGGTTTGAGAAAAATGGCCTACCGTCATACACCCTGATGACATCTGTCATACATCCTTCCGTATCCAGATCCATTTCTAAGATATCTATCCGGATGGCACCACTTCTGGGGTTGGGAGTGTTTATTGTCCATCGACATTCAAGGTAACTGTGAATGAAAGAAAGATGCACACAGCGTTAAAGGGACTAATTTCGTCACAACATCTATGATATTATGGGTTATGAAATATCAATATCAAGTAAATACAATTATTATTTTCTATTCCTACACTCAAAAAGAACACCGCGCTGCTACGGAAGCGTAGTAGGGCCACGGTGAAATTAATTTTGTAAAAGTATCTCCTACGAAGGACTTAATATGTCCTACGTAGGACTTAGTATGGCCTAGAATTACTATCTCCTACGTAGGACTTAGTATGGACTAGAATTACTATCTCCTACCTAGGACTTAGTATGGACTAGAATAACTATCTCCTACCTAGGACTTAGTATGGACTAGAATAACTATCTCCTACGTAGGACTTAGTATCTCCTACGTAGGAGATACTAAGTCCTACGTAGGAGATAGGAAGTCCTACGTAGGAAACAGGAAGTCCTACGTAGGACTTATTAGGAGATGATAAGTCCAACGTAGGTGATACTTAGACGAAAAGAAATTCACCGTGGCCCTACTACGCTTCCGTACTCTGCTCAGTCCAAGGGTATGATGGGGTTGTTACGTGCATACTTATAATGGGGTTAGAAATATTTGAACTGGTTATAAATCAATTAAGTATTAAGTTACACACAAACATATGAAGAAACACAATTATCATCTCTTATTACCACACAGTACGACACTCGGATCAGCTGATGAAATAAAGTGAGTGAGTGAGTATGGTGTTTACGCTACTTTTAACAATATTCCAACAATATCACGGCAGGGGACACCAGAAATGGGCTTCACACATTGTACCCATGTCGGGAATCGAACCCGAGTCTTCTTTAACCACAAGGCTACCCGACCGCACCTCACTTTTTAGAGGAACTTCAGTCGGTCCATACTGCCGTAAACGTGGAAGGCGACTGCTTCAGCATGTTGATACTTCTTTATATACCTGATATGATTGTATAATGTATTTGTATAATGAACATCACTTAACGTTGACACAGTTTGGTGGCCATTTGCGATGATTTTACAAACGGAGATGTTCAAATTTGGAGATATAGGACATAACATACTGACCCGTGTCTTGTGGTGATTTAAAGGGTATAATTGTTAACAAATGAACGCATGTATAAAAACAGAATCGTGTACAGGTAAACGGTGAGGCGGTACCTTTGAAAAGGACTTGGATATCCCGGTGTCATGAGAAATTGTTCCTCTTGGGTTGCGTTGAGATTATCACCTCGACAAGTAGGCCCTAAATAGAAATTATAAACAAAAATCCAACAAAATCTTCAGTGCATGTACGTTTCCAGCAGGATGTGCTTTCGAAATATATACAACTAGAACCCCATTGATTGGTAAAATAAGTCAGAAGTGAGTGAGCAACTGTTATTTAACGTTGAAGTCAGCAATATTTAGCTTTACCACAGCAGTAAGGTGAGTGAAATTGGGTTTATATAGCGACGTGCATGCACGCGTGTGTGTGGCTGCTTGTACTAGACCGGACTGATGCCGATTTATAGTGCTATCTCACTGAGATAACATGCCGCAGTTTAACTTGAATACCCCACTCAGACACAGTATACTGACTCCGAGCCGACCAGTCCTTGCTTTAACCCCTTAATGCCGAGCGCCAGACAGGGTAACAACAAGTACCATCTTTTAACGTCTTTGGGTATGACGCGGCCGGGGATCGAACCCCGGACCTTCCGCTCTCCAGGCGGACGCCCTAACCACTAGACCATGGAGGCGGTCACCACAGCGGTGAGTGGTCGATAGTAGCAGCACGGATAGAGTGTTACAATGACCCAATTTACGTTGTAGCTGCTCGATCCTCAATGCTTCAAAATCTAGAGGCTATTGTGGTCTGTTCTTCCCAAATTTCATTTAAAAAGTTAGGTTTAACAATTTATAGATTTATTCATGGATGCCAAGTATTTGTATTTTTGTATACACCCCTCATAAAACATAACATACAGTGCCATGAACGCCAGTGCAGTTGATCTTTTGTTTCAGGGGCGCTGGAATCTTTACACAGTATTGTCAGACGCTTAAGATTAATTCATGTATCATTAATGCCGAATAAATGTTTCCTGGTCGGAATCGAAAATAGTAATCTATTTCTAGCAAAACTCCTCAAGCTTCCTACAGTCTTCCTACATATGTGGGTTTATAAACATTATTGCTGGTTTGTGTTTTTATGTTTTTTAACGCCGCACTAAGCAATATTCCAGTAATGAAAAGTATGAACCAGACAACCCAGTGACTGACATTATGAGCATCCATCAACGCAACTGGGATACGGCGACGAAGCGAATTCCATCCCTGATTTTCACTGGGGATATGGAGATTCTTAAATGATTTTTTCGCCAAAATACGAAACGAGTGTAAGAATCTGTGTATATATGTACATGAACTCCGACTTTAGTTTCGTTAAATCAGTATGATGCCCATACAGGTGTAATAATGTATGTATTATTCGTAGTTCGTAATAGATGTGAACAAGAAAATATGTCTTCTAGAGACAAAACTTTGAAGAAAAGCTGATTCACATCATAGGAGGATCCGGAGTGGGGGGTGGGGGGTGGGGGTGGGAGTGGGGAGTGATCCAGGGGGTCCGGATTAGGTGCTGGCGATTAGGTTCCTCACTCTGAGAGTGTAGGTTCGAATCCTGGATGTATTTTATCACATCTTTAAATTACCCCCTCCAATATCTGGAAATTATTACACAAGATTTCTGATGAAGGGACACCATGCTACAAAGATGAGTATGTGGTGAGGCTGGTTGCGGGGTCTTAAGCCGCAATCCAATCGGAGAATGCCATCGATATCTTCATACAATATATGAGGCCCACATTGTAACGTTGTCTGACAAAATGTGTAAAAGTCGACCTTAATATGATTTTAGTTATGTATATCGTAAGTGTCGAACCTTCGAGAGTTCTGTACTTAAGACGGACACTCCGCTCCGATGATATATGCAGCATCATTGACGCCGACTCACTCCAACTTTGGTAGACATTGATTTTCCCTGGACACCACGTGACATCATCTTCCCCGTATTCTGCAGCATAACATGGCAAATACGTTCGTATTGTATTAGTATGTTAATTACGATATTCCGAAAATAGTCGGCGACTCTTTATACACACAAAAGCACAGTATTAGCATTAACATTAACGATCAAGGGAAATTACCACTGCTCGAGTGAGGGTGTGCATGCTATAGCCAGCAAGTAAGAAAACGTACAACGTTATGGATAACATGTTCTGGTTTATTGCATATAGCGGTATTTGTATAGTTGGCTTCACCCAATTAACTGTATACGACTTAAAGTAAGACAAGTTCTATGGATGAACAACTTCTTTATTACAATTAGTGCGACGTTTCGGTGTAGATCCTAATTATATAACACCTTCATCAAGCAAGTGATGGCTAGTGCTAAACAACATAGGTGTATATACTTATTAACATCAACACCGAAACGTCGCACTAATTGTAATAAAGAAGTTGTTCATCCATAGAACTTGTCTTACTTCATCACACCAACTTCTAAAATGCCACTGAAAAAAAGTGTGTGCGACTTATTACCTATTACCTTTGCCAGTGTTAATCTCCTGCTTATCACAAAATGCCATCATGTATATATACCCCTCGTCACTTTGTTTTTGTCTTTTGTCACTCCAGAGTGTAAGAACCTACGCAATGTGCAATAGATGCTATCAATAAAGTCGTGCGTTCTCTTACTTACTCAACAACTTCTGGAATTCCAATTAAGCAGTTATATCCAGCAAACTCCACCTTTCACGGCTGCCAGTATTATTTGTTTGTGGTTTAACGCTACAATCTGCCATGCTCCAGCTATGAGTGAGTAAGTTGGGTTTAACGCCGCTTTTAACATTATTCCAGTTATATCACGGCGTGTCAGCTTAATGTGTAACCCACGAGCACGGGTATGGTGCTGACAAACCTAGAAACATAATCGGGGTGAACCGGGATTCGAACCCACAATTATAGGTTTCAGGCGTGCCCAAGGGACGCAACTCTGCACAGCGAATCGCGGCGCCTTAGACGACTGGGCCACCCGTACCCCCTACTCCAGCTATGTGGCGGCGAACTGTATATTATGGAGTCTAAAAACACAGTCATAGATTTTGTGTGCAACGTCACACGTCACCAAGGTTGACCATCAGATCATACTTTGTCGTCCCTTGAGACAAGCATGTCTGGCTGGGGACCAGTTCACAGCCGGAATCCCCACGAGTCAGCCAAGCAAATCAGTGACTGGAGACCAACGATTCTGGTCAACGGATGAAGATGGCAAGCAATCGGCCAAGTGACCGAGTCAGATCATCGACCCTCTGTAGTTGGCTTTGGGACATGCATACGGACAACATGGGACCACCATCTCTCCTTGTGTCCCCATGGGGTTAAACACAGCCGTAGCATATTACCCTGGGAAATATCAATTCAGGTGCTTCTTTACTAACGGGTCATCATGACTGTGGAACTGTGAAGAGGCGACAATGCTGAAAATCCTCACCATCAAGAAATTTGACTTGAACATGTCCACAGCTGGTGCTGACATTACCAGCTGTTTCTATAGATACACGAACCTGTTGACCTTTCGGTGCCTTCACTCTCCAACGACACGCAAGTGATCTATGGGAGAACAATATATTCCCTTAAATGACAAACTCACCAAATCACACCCTTCATTCGTACTTGACATAACTTGCACTTACTTCTCCAATACATGCAACAATATCCATATTTCTCTCCGAGTCCCATGGATGTATATCTTAGTCATACTTTGAACTAGTTTCCAGATTAAACAACACAAATCTAACCATAGGGCATTGTAGTTATTGGAAATATAGTCCGTTTTCAAATTAGTTTTTTTCTTACGCTGCTTTTGGGTTTGACGCCGCATCAGATATCACAAATAAAAAACATCGTTCACTTGAAATTGTTATTTAAATGTATGTCTTGGAGCAGTGACAAAAAGAATTTATCTAAGCTTGGCCCATTTACTTTTGAAGCAATATTACGCATATCACAGTTGAGCAAACACAGGAACCATTTTTGAGCATGCTCGACCTCATAACGTGAAGATATATACAACGGTATAAGGATACATACCGAAACGTCGCCTTTACAGTAAATAAAAAGTTGTTATGCATCAATTGTGTCTACTTTGTCATCCTTCACGTTCATCTGTTAAACAGTTTTTGACACTTAACACGTTGAAGGCGACTATGCTTTTTGTAAGATGCGACTTGCGGGATCGGGATCGATGCTTATGATGTCAATCACTGGATTGTCTGATCCAGACTCGATTATTTACAGACCAACATCATATAGCTGGACTATTGCTCCAAACATACAAAACTAAACACGTTCAGCTGTTAAACATGTTTTGACCCTTAATACGTTAAGCTGTTAAACACGTTTTGACCCTTAACACATTCAGCTGTTAAACACGTTTTGACCCTTAATACGTTCAGCTGTTAAACACGTTTTGACCCTTAATACGTTCAGCTGTTTAACACGGTTTGACCCTTAACACGTTCAGCTGTCAAAAATGTTTTGACCCTGAACACGTTCAGCTGTTTAACACGGTTTGACCCTGAACACGTTCAACTGTTTAACACCGCTTGACCCTGAACACATTCAACTGTTTAACAGGTTTTGACCCTTAATACGTTCAGCTGTTTAACACGGTTTGACCCTTAATACGTTCAGCTGTTTAACACGGTTTGACCCTTAACACGTTCAGCGGTTTAACACGGTTTGACCCTGAACACATTCAACTGTTTAACAGGTTTTGACCCTTAATACGTTCAGCTGTTTAACACGGTTTGACCCTTAATACGTTCAGCTGTTTAACACGGTTTGACCCTTAACACGTTCAGCTGTTTAACACGGTTTGACCCTTAACACGTTCAGCGGTTTAACACGGTTTGACCCTGAACACATTCAACTGTTTAACAGGTTTTGACCCTTAATACGTTCAGCTGTTTAACACGGTTTGACCCTTAATACGTTCAGCTGTTTAACACGGTTTGACCCTTAACACGTTCAGCTGTTTAACACGGTTTGACCCTTAACACGTTCAGCTGTTTAACACGGTTTGACCCTGAACACATTCAGCTGTTTAACATGTTTTGACCCTTAACACGTTCAGCTGTTTAACACGTTTTGACCCTTAATAGTGAGTGAGTGAGTTGGGTTTTTCGCCGCTTTTAACATTATTCCAGTTATATCACGGTGTTTCAGCTTAATGTGGGAGGAAAGCCCGAAGTGATGCAGGTCTCAGACGTTTACCACTTCGGTGAAACCCACGAGCACGGTGCTGACAAACCTAGAAACATAATTGGGGCGAACCGGGATTCGAACCCATAATCATAGGTTTCTGGCGTGCCCAAGGGACGCAACTCTGCACAGCGAATCGCGGCGCCTTAGACGACTGGGCCACCCTTAATACGTTCAGCTGTTTAACACGGTTTGACCCTGAACACATTCAGCTGTTAAACATGTTTTGACCCTGAACACATTCATCTGTTAAGCAGTTTTTTACCCTGAACACATTCAGCGTTTAAACACGTTTTTGACCCTGAACACATTCAGCTGTTAAACACGTTTTGACCCTTAACACGTTAAGCTGTTAAACATAATCCTGAACATGTTAAGACCTAACCCGTCAAAACTATGGGACAAGGAACGGACCTATGTTTGTACAGTGTGTTTCCTTAAACGATGCAAAGGTTTCATTTGATTACGTACCGAGAAGTGCCGTCAGGGTACCCATATGAAAAGATGTTATACTCTGTCGTTGAGACAGCAAACACTGATTGTCCATAACAGAGATCTGTGCGGAAAAAGTTAGGAGTCAGTAAATATGTTAATGGCAGGACATAACTAATGACCTGGGCCCACTTGCACAAAGCGATCTTAGTGCTAAGACTATTGTAAGCCTATGTTAAAGTATGGGAGTTACGATCATCTTAGCGCTAAGGATTCTTTGTGTAAGCGGGCCCTGTTACTGCGTGTGTCGGTAGGTGGGATATTATATTTTTAATGTTCAGTGAGGTTGGGTGTGGGGAGTACATTCAGAAGATACGAAAGCAGTATTTAAGGTTCATGTCCATATTTTCAAAAGGGGAAGGGGCGTGGGCCATGTCCATGAAACGCCATCTTAAAGAGGTAAGGGGGTTATCTGACCATAAAGGTCCAGTTTCCACCCCTGTCGAACTAGGCTGGAATTATGGAGCTATATTAGGCTGGACTAACCAGTCTATGCATAGTCCAATCATAATCGTGTAGCGAAATCAACATAAGGTTCGTAAACTGCCGTGCAGATTTCGGCCGACTGCAGGATTCTCAAAGTATGTGTACCGTCACCTTAGCGTCAAAAGATATTTTCCAGATATTTTCATTTTTGTATTCCAGGTGCTCACGTTATTTAATACACTTCGCGAAGTAAGGACAGTTTTCATGCCAATATCGATATTAATTATCGATCAGATCATTTTCACTGGGCGCCATTTTGTTTGAAGCAAATGCAAGTGATATCAGAGGTGGAATATGATTGATCAACAGGGGGGATATAGAAGGGACATAACTCGTAATAGCCACTGGAGGCGCTACGATCGAATTCAGAAATTCCGGCCTAGTTAAGTAAGCGTGGAAACTGGAGGTTTTCAGTCAGCTAACTTCCTTGACTCGTGAAGGTGATGAAACACCAACTCGGCATCCCAGAAGACGCCGCTGCGGTCAGACGTGGTTTAAGGTACTGGAACTGTTATAACTGCAACTCATTTGGGCCACTTATAGAAGTGATTTACTATGTGAGCATCACTCCACCCATATAAACACACGGGAACAAACAGGGACAATAGAGAATTTTGGTCAACCATAATAAGCAGCCATTATGGACATGCAATCCCCAAATCTCCATTCAGCAACCACGCGGATAATACCTCGTGTGGAAATATGATGTATAATCAGTGGGTGCATTTAAATATATTCATAATGCACACGATTTTGCTGCACAAACCTGTTGTGTAATATTTTAGCTCAAAGGCGTTTGTGTCCGTCACTTCAGCCGCGGGGTAGACCACAGTGAGGACGTTGCCGGAACTTTGGAAGGAGCTTGTGTAGTTGCCACAAACCAAACCGAGGATGGCGCCGGATGAATCTGTAAAGACGAAGCATCGACAAGCTTTCACCCTTACTCTGGAACCTCGCTAGATGAAGATGTTAGGGTTGGGTTACTGAAGGACATAGTGTGATTATTGAAGTATACCAACCAACTAACAAATACAGAGTAAAATACAAGTCCCGTTAAGATTCGGGGTAGAATAGGTCTTCAGCAACCCATGCTTGCCGTAGAAGGCTACTATGCTTGTCGTAAGAGGTGACTAACGGGATCGGGTGGTCAGGCTAGCTGACTTGTTTGATGCATGTCATCGTATTCAAAATGCGTGTGTCGATGCTCATGATGTCAATCACTCGATTGTCTGGTCCAGGTTAATTACAGACCGCCGTCATATAGCTGGAATATTGCTGAGTGTTGCGTTAAACAATAAAACAACAGTATAATACCAAAATACAACAAAATAACTGACTGTGTATATACATAGTATGGAAAATAATATAATAATAATAATAATAATAATAATAATAAATAGATTGCATGAATTAAATTGAGGACGTGACTCAAGTGGACACGAACATCTTCCTGACATCGTCTAGGCATGTTCGGAATGCATTTTGTAGCCTTTGGGATCCGGAGCCGGTCCAAATGTCGGAGTGCTACCGGACGATAGTGCACACGACGAAAAGGTTGAGGTCAGGTCTCAGTGTGGCGGCCGTAATCATCGTTATCGTGGATTTTTCAAACTGACGACCAAGCCTACATGCAAAGGAACCACAAGTTGTATCAACAGTCCATCACGATGACGGACCCCTGTGAGTCGACCACAACGACGGATGAGGTCAATGTAGTAGCTGTAGATGGTGCCAATCAAAACCGCCGCTGAGCATTACTATGATATGAAACACAAGTGACAGCGTTCATGTCCACATCTCCAATCAAGACTACGGACATCTACAATCACTGTGATGCTAACGACGCAATGTTTCGAATCTATGACGCCGCACCCATTCTATTCGCCTGTTTCCCTGTGTACTCCCCGACATGCTGATCTGTTTCTTTATGCATTTGGATCGAAATTTGAAATCGGATTGGCAAAGTCAAAACAGGGTAATTTGGCCAAGAAGTTTAACTTAAACTTCAGGTATATCGATGAACTGATATCGTTCAATCACCATCAAATAGCCATTTCCTTTCTCCTGATGTATCCACCTGAACTAGAAAAAAGGAGACCAGTGACCTGTTTCATATTTAGGTCTGTGCATAAAGAACTTTATGGCGAGAAATATTCCTGCAGCTCCAGCCTTTGGTGCTTACATTTCACAACTTTTGAGGTACAGTTTCGCATCCTCTTTCTACCAAGATTCCAAAGAGCGTCATACGCTAAGGTGTTGTTTGATCAAGGTTACAACATACAAGGCTTCGGTAAAGCTTTCAAAATGTTTTATGGTAGACACGTGGAGGACCTTTCCAAATTTGATGCTTCAGGGACAAAAAATGATGTCCAGTGCAATTCCCTAATTTGACTTGTACCATATGATTCAATATTTGTTTCAGGTGAACAATTGACTTGCCTCTGCATGTGTTTGTTACGGGTGCCACAGGAAGGACGGGATACGCTCACCTTTTCACGAACACCTTGTATCATCACTTTTTGATTATACAGTTATTTGTTGTCATGATATAGTCGGAATCGAGATTTTAAAATGAATATGGAAAGGGTTTTGTCGCTTTTATTTTTATTATTATCAGTCATCGTGATTCCTATCACTGGGAAGAACCCCTTAATTCTGCAGCTTCCAACCGATTGTGCACAGAGCGATTGTGTAATGCCTGTGAGTGAGTGAGTGAGTGTGTAATGCCTGTGAGTGAGTGAGTGAGTGAGTGAGTGAGTGAGTGAGTGAGTGAGTGAGTTGGGTTTAACGCCGCTTTTAACATTATTCCAGTGTCAGCTTAATGTGGGAGGAAAGCCCGAAGTGATGCAGTTCTCAGACATTTACCCCTTCAGTGAAACCCACGAGCACGGGTATGGTGCTGACAAACCTAGAAACATAATCGGGGCGAACCGGGATTCGAACCCACGATCATAGGTTTCTGGCGTGCCCAAGGAACGCAACTCTGCACAGTGAATCGCGGCGCCTTAGACGACTGGGTCACCCGTGCCCCCTTAATGCCTGTGGATGATGACAATAAACCCAGCGTTTCTGCTATATGATGATCGGATTTAATTCTTCTGTTAGTTACACGGCAATGTAGGAGTGGCAAAATCATACTGGTGTGCTTTCTGCATGTATTTCCGCGAAAACGGAGTAGGCAAATTCATCCGGGAAGATGTCTGTATCTGGCAAAGCGCTGGAGTTATATATCATACTCCGATCGACACGGTGTCAGCGTGTCTCTGCCGCTATATGATACGTACCACCATCATGCACGACGATGCTGTTACTGACGTCACATGATGGGTGTTGCGTTAAGTTGACGTTCTGGAAATTTAAGGTCACCATCTCGGAAGATCCTGAACTGTTTATTGTCCACGTGCACATCCCGCTGCTGAAATGTTTGTTAATGTTAATTTTGTACTAAATACACAAATATATATATATAAAGTGGCGGTTGGGTAGCCTAGTTGGTTAAGCATACGCCTGTAACGACAAAGGCACAGGTTCGATTCCCAACATGAGTACAATACGTGAAGCCCATGATGGGATTTCTTGTGCCCACTTACTTTCATGTTGAGGTGCACATAATCGCGTAAAGATATGCACATACGTTTGGCATATATCAATTGTGTATGAACCACGCTGTATGATCATACACACCATACGTGTGTCGTTAACATTCATAAGTGTTCGTTTACTTCATGTGAGGAATGATGCAATTCTTTAGAATAAGATTATTATTGTGTTTAGCGAGAAAGTTAGCGTCTTACCCTCCGACTACAGCCTTCTGACTCCCACTGGTGTCTGCTTGGAGGGTCAGGTCGCATGACTGAGCTGAAAAATACATGTCACATGATCATCACTGGGCTGACAAATACATGTCACATGATCATCACTGGACTGAAAAGTACGTGTCACATGATCATGACCTGGCTGAAAAGTACATATCACATGATCATCACTTGGCTGACAAATACATGTCACATGATCATCACCTGGCTGAAAAGTACATATCACATGATCATCACTTGGCTGAAAAGTATATGTCACATGATCATCACCTGGCTGAAAAGTACATGTCACATGATCATGACTGAGCTGACAAATACATGTCACATGATCATGACTGAGCTGACAAATACATGTCACATGATCATGACTGAGCTGACAAATACATGTCACATGATCATGACCTGGCTGACAAATACATGTCACGTGATCATGACTGGGCTGACAAATACATGTCACATGATCATCACTTTGTTGAAAAGTGCATGTCACATGATCATGAATGAGCTGAAAAGTACATGTCACATGATGCTGAAAAGTACATGTCACATGATCATGACAGCTGAAAAGTACATGTCACATGATCATGACTGGGCTGACAAATACATGTCACATGATCATGACTGGGCTGACAAATACATGTCACATGATCATCACTTTGTTGAAAAGTGCATGTCACATGATCATGAATGAGCTGAAAAGTACATGTCACATGATGCTGAAAAGTACATGTCACATGATCATGACAGCTGAAAAGTACATGTCACATGATCATGACTGGGCTGACAAATACATGTCACATGATCATGACTGGGCTGACAAATACATGTCACATGATCATGACTGGGCTGACAAATACATGTCACATGATCATCACTTTGTTGAAAAGTACATGACACATGATCATGACTGAGCTGAAAAGTACATGTCACATGATCATGACCTGGCTGAAAAGTACATGTCACATGATCATCACTTGGCTGAAAAGTACGTGTCACATGATCATAAGTGAGCTGAAAAGTACATATCACATGATCATCACTTGGCTGAAAAGTACATGTCACATGATCATAAGTGAGCTGAAAAGTACATATCACATGATCATCAGTTGGCTGAAAAGTACATATCACATGATCATCACTTGGCTGAAAAGTACATATCACATGATCATCACTTGGCTGAAAAGTACATATCACATGATCATCACTTGGCTGAAAAGTACATATCACATGATCATCAACTGGCTGAAAAGTACATGTCACATGATCATCAACTGGCTGAAAAGTACATGTCACATGATCATGACTGAGATGAAAAGTACATGTCACATGATCATCACTTGGCTGAAAAGTACATGTCACATGATCATCACTTTGTTGAAAAGTACATGTCACGTGATCATGACTTGGCTGACAAATACATGTCACATGATCATGATTGAGCTGAAAAGTACATGTCACATGATCATGACTGGGCTGACAAATACATGTCACATGATCATCACTTGGCTGAAAAGTATGTGTCACATGATCATCACTTGGCTGAAAAGTATGTGTCACATGATCATCACTGAGCTGAAAAATGTATGTCACGTGATCATGACTGATATCTGTTACAAGGCTGCATAGAAATGGATTTCTTGATCACACTTTCTTAAACAATTAGGAGGGAGGTAGGACCTTTTCATACTGTTTTTATTTAAATCAAATTGGTGATGAGGAAGGAACACTTTTGGGAAAATAGACACGCATTGAACTCCTTTATGCAAACAGAAAACACTGTCTGCTTCGTATGACGTGAGAATTTCTATTTTATTTCAACATTTCCTTTTTATTGCCCTAAAAATGTATAAAGATTCTACGTCCGTTATTATTATCCCCATAAAATAATTTTCCAAGCATACCTTAAACAGTGATGGGATGTGAGAATTTGTCGAAAATAAATATTATCATTTCCATAAATTTGGTATCATCATCATCATCATCAGTACGTACATGTAGATGTGTCATTAATATCACAACTACTTAATCATTATTGCATTGATATAGAAATAATATTATAAATATAGGACAATAAAAGTCTTTCCATGAATAATCTCATATGTGTGTGTTTATCAGTAACCTAAACTGTTGACTACAAGTGATACAGCCGACATGGCCCAGTTCTCTCGCAACACGTTACCAAAAATAGACACGGACGTCCCAATACAAGAATAGAATTGAACAAACTAAACACTGAATACATTTTCATTAAACAGGATGATGATAAAGAGTAACGGCTGTATGTCAATGTTATACTACTGCACGAGAAATGTTTCAATGGCTGACGGATGGGTTGCGACAAGATCGGTCCGGACACACCAAGCCGTTCTATTATACACATGTACACATACTGTACGCGGTCAAGGTCACATTCTCGTCTGTCTGTCGGTTACTCTTGTACTCAGAGAGTTAACAAATACATTTCACCCACGTCCACGATAATGTTCACGTTCAGCTAAAAGACGCGTGATTTACCAGTTAGACACGATCGTTCGGAATGCGGTCGTCCCTATTTTCAAGCATGCCGATCGATATCTAATCTAGAGTTTACCTGTACAAACAACTCACCTGTAACTGTTGTCGTTGTGAACAGCAGAAACAAGGTGAGATGCACATATCTCGCCATCATGAAAACAGCAGATGTTGGATGTTGGCGGTACAGGTGACGAGGAGTGGCACAGGTTGGCACAGTCGGTGACGAGGAATGGTAGATATTAGTTACCCGACCAGTCTATGGGATCAGTGGTCGTGACGACCTCACAGTGCGTTCATGTGCACCGAGAACGGTACATCGTATTTCCCTGCTTTACGACACCGCTGATTCGCTAGACCTGTTTAGTGCTTGCTCGGTTCTGCTCTGGTTGCGATGATCCCGTGTTTTATAAAAGTCGAACGGCTAACACTGTAAGCTATACTCTGAAGAGTGTAAAAGATGCGTTTCACTTTAGGTTCATAAAATACACCTGGAAAAAGCTAACCACCATATAAAATACCGACGTATATACAATATACAATATTCGACGTAATAAGCGCCCAGGGCGCTCTCAAAATTAGAAATAAGGGGCTCTTATTAGAATATTATTTTGGTGGAAAAAAGAGAGTTGAAAGATAAATTTCGTTGTTTATGCTGACACACTGAAATGTTTATATGAGACAGATACATTTTCCCAGAATTTAATTGCCCAAAATTAAGAATGCATATAACACACGAGTGCGTATTATACGCGAAGAAATAAGTCTTGTGTACATTGATCAATCCGAAGGATTGCTAATTGGGATTGTTCACTAGCCAATATATTAGTAAATATCGCCGTGGGCGCTTATTAGAGCGGGGCGCTTATTACGTCGAATACGGTAACCATTTTAAAAAATCTTATCCTGTATTAATATCCTGACGAAACACATCTTTTTGTATGCCAAATGAATTACAGAAACGAAACCTATTATCTCATGACATGATTTGCATGAGCTCAGTGGAGATACTTATCCGACTACCATTTTATTTGCTTCCTGTATTTATTTGCATCATAACCTATGCTGGTCGTAAGAGGGTCCAAATAGATGGAGTGTTTAGTCCTGGTGACTTGGTTGATGATAGCATGACAATGAACTATATCAATCACTGGATTGTCTGGTCCAGACTCGGCTATTTACAGATCGCCATCACCAATATAACTGGGATACTGCTGAGTGTGGCAGGCTCGCTGACTTGGTTGATGCATGTCATTGTATCTCAATTGCATAGATCGATGCTCATGATATCAATCACTGGATTGTCTGGTCCAGACTCAATAATTTACAGACCTCCGTCATATAGCTGGAATATTGATGAGTGCAGTGTTAAACAACAAACAAACAAATCAAAACCAATTTCAAATATCAAACTGACAACTTAACCATAACTTCACAACATATTTTATTAAAACTTTCCTGGACACTCTCACCAAATCATGGCCAGTTTTCATAACCATTCAGACACCTACCACTAGAGAATGTCAACACATGTAATGTAATGACTTAAGTTTAATTCCCAGCAACACATTTCTCATTAATAACAAACATAAGATCAATCTGTATGTATATATTACAAAACATATACATGTCAGCCATTTAGGTTCAGAGAAATATCACAAACAGGTAGGAATAATTCAAAGGAATTGTGTCAAACACACTGCAATTTGTTTGATAGGCATTACTTAGAAGTTGACAGATGACAAGGTAGACACAATTTTATTGATAACAACTTCTTTAACACTGTAAAAAGCGACTGTCTTGCTTGACAATGGCATAAGGATCTATACTTTTTACAGTACTAAAGAAGTTGTTATCCATAAAATTGTGTCTACCTTAACACTGCAATTTGTGATTAAACCTGCTGAACACTAACATTTCACCCTCAGGCGGGGATGCACCATTCATGATTTGATTACACATCAAATACATTCATACATACTCTTCATCAGGGCTGAACAACAAAAATTACACTGAGCCCAGATTAAGCATATTTCAAAAGACTTGACAACAATTCCACTGTAAAATATGCATCAGTCCACACAATAGCACTGTCATCAGCATGATCAGCAATATGTGCATGCCATCAAGGTACTCTGAAACCTTGAAACTTTCAAAATAAATATTTTATCTAAGGGGAGTTATTTACATATATACAAAACTGACAAATATTGTTCTAAGATACTGGTCATGTTTTAATGCTTGCATCTTTTGTTCATAAAAGTCATAAAAAGTGTCATTATTTAAAAGTGGCATTATTTTATTTTTAGCTGTCGCGTCTGGACCAGACAATACAGTGATTGACATCATGAGCATCAATCCACACAATTGGGATACGATGACATACATCAACCAAGTCAGCGAGCCTGACGGCCCAGTCCTGATAGTCCCCTCTTACGACAAGTATAGTCACCTTTTACAGCGACTAACAGGATCCGGTGGTCAGTCCCGCTGACTTGGCTCATGCACGTCATCGTATCCCAATTGCGTGGATCGACGCTTATGATGTCAATCACTGGATTGTCTGGTCCACTCGATTATTTACAGACCGCCGTCATATAGCTGAAATATTGCTGAGTGCGGCGTTAAACAACTAACAAACAAACAAAGGAGTTGTCAGAAAAATAGCTTCAATACTCATATAAGGCTGTAAGGCAAGACCCATTTACTTAATAGTTGTACAAATCAAACATTTCCAAAAATATATTTGAAAAATTCTTTAACAGGAAATACTAACTGTGCCTAGTCACTTTTATCTCTGTTTGACTGTGCTCGTTCTCTCGCACTTGCACCAGCAATGACTTCACTTGAAGTGAAAAGACAGCACTATTTCCATAAAACATTAACCCCATAGAGGCGAGTGTTAATTGTAAGCAAGAACACATGGTAACAATAACAATGTGTTCATGTACAAGCAGTCATTAATCGGTCATTACTTTTATATTTCAAAAGTGATTTTATGTTAATTTCTTTCTTCCTGTTTTCGGGGATTTTAGGAATAAAAATATGTTTATCTACGCCAAAAAGAATGTCATGTCCTTTCAGTTCTTCAAGGACTTATAATGTTCTCTGGTGACACTACTTCTACACCAAACAATACTGTGAGTCATCTCCCACACTGAATGAGAAGTTGTGGGATTATTTCAAGTCCAACTTGATAAAAGTCCCCACCAAAAAAGGCATTACTTCACCACTTGGTTGAAACCTATCCAAATGATTGTGAAAAAATTTGAACTGATGTTGAATTCGGAAACAAAAAGATGCTGATCACTGTACCAGCAGCTGTATAATACGGTGATATTGCATGAGGTGACACTTTTTTCTAATTCTATTAATGGATTTGACCAACTGGAGCCACACCCAGAAAGAACATTATATTTTCACAACTCTTTGATTTATTGGAAAAAGAACAATATACCATCACACAATTCATACAAAGTAAAGTAACAATTAACTTTTCTCATAATAATTGGTCAGATTCATTGTATGTAGTCTCTGACCACTACAAACCTCTTGAGTGAGTGAGTTGAGTTTGGTTTAACGCCACTTTTAACATTATTCCAGTTATATCGCGGCATGTCAGCTTAATGTGGGAGGAAAGCCAGATGTGATGCAGTTCTCAGACCCCTTCAGTGAAACCCACGAGCACGGGTATAGTGCTAACAAACCTAGAAACATAATCGGGGCGAACCGGGATTCGAACCCACAATCATAGGTTTCTGGTGTGCCCAAGGGATGTAACTCTGCACAGCGAATCGGGGCGCCTTAGATGACTGGGCCACCCGTACCCCCTACAAACCTCTTGAAAAAGAGAAAAAAAGCCTTCTCAAAACGATATACTTACTTGATAGTATAAACATAAATAAAACCCTGTACGTTACACAGTATTGACACTTAACCTGTGGCCCAATGAACATACTGTTTCCTTATGACTTTCAACCTCCTACCGCAACACATAACAACATTCTGTGCAAGGTATTCATGGGTTTGTGAAGACAAACGCATCTAATATTGACTTCTTAAACTAAATCTACAGATGTTTATGCATAATATATGACCAGTTCCTGAACATGCAAAAGAATATTGATTTAAATGTCAGCGAGGACAAATGTACTTATCTGTATTAACAACATAGAAAGGGAGGTAACTGCAATCCTGGATGGGAGAAACAGAGAAGGTGGCGTGTGTCAGGGTGTTACTGAGCCCAGCAGTATTTCAGCTTTACTGTGGCATGAATAGCATTTACAGCGGAATTAAATGCCCCGAGTGTTACAATATATTTCCTTTGAGCATTTTATTTTTTGTTACTTGGCTTACACATCCAACACAAAAAAATCAGGGAAATGTAAACACAAATAATTCCATTTTAAAGCCTTTTTAAGTAACCCTGAGGCTGAGAATCTTGTTTATGAATATAAATGCAACTTGTTTCATGTCTTGACAGACAGGTGGTGCATACTTATTGACCAAACATTGTTTGCTCAAATACCATTTATAGGTCCACAGCTAATAATTACACCAACAAATATTCTTGTTACATTACAAAAAAATGTCAAAAGAAAATATGTAATGTATATTAAAGGTGCAAATTCACATTTTCAAGTATTCTCAAATGTTCACAAATAACTTGACATCTTGATTTATGACATCAATCAATTTCTGAGAATGTTGAGCTTGACTTACTGTAAACATACTATAAGCATCGCTTTCAGCAAAGTTCACAGAAAGCAAATGCAATTTCAATTTTTCATCTCACACAAACTTGGAACAAATTATATTCCTGTACAATTAGAAACAAGTCCAGTCCACACACTCCGAAAAAATTGATGCCGGATATCGTAATTAGCAATCTTCAGCTCCAGAAAATTTCCCCAAAATAGTTTTGTGAAATACTACAATCCTTGCAACACAATCATTCCATGAAACAATTAGCAAAGAATTTACCTTACATTTTCCTATTATCAACATCATGATCATAGTGATCACAGCAGTAGTGATTCATGTTACTCATTTGGATAAATACTGCATGCTGTGTTGATAAGCAGAAGTACAGATATAATTATGTGATAGAGTTTATAGTTTGATAATATTATTCTTATTAACCACATTTGCTTTGAAGCTATGGTAATATTTGTACTTTAACATGCTCGAGATGATAATTTCATTTGTCACGAACTTCAATACACTGTCATTATCACAACAATCCCCATCTCTACAACATTATAACAAAACAAAGATATTGTCAGAAGTTTCTCCCAATCCAACACAAGTCAATACAGCTATTAATGAGGATCCCTGCCCAAAACGGTCATAATTCTGACAAATTCTTGTACGCGTCACTTTCTAATTTCTCCCCATATGTTGAAGTTGAAAACTTTTGACTTCTGTCATTGCTGTTTTGTTTGCTGTTAAACAGCGCACTCAGCAATATTCCAGCTATATGACGGCGGACCAAACAATCTAGTGACTGATATCACATGAGCATCCATGCCTATGGGGATACGTGGACACAAATTCGACCAAGTCACTGAGGCTACCTGACCACCTGATCCACTTAATCGCCTCTTACAACCAGCATAGGTTACAGGGGATCACCCGAAATCTCACCAGAGATACCCACTAATATCATCCTGTCATTGAACAGAATAGTATGGCCAACAGTGATAGCCACAGTTCAATAATTATGATGAAACAAATACAATCATATGAAAGCTGTTTGATACAATCAGAACCAGCAGTGTGTGTTCCCTTACAAGAAGGATCCTCTAAACTTTGCTGCAAACAACTTAAATGATATTGGTGAACTGTCAATGTGAAGGCTTGTGTGGCATAAGCCTAGGTCCGACTTCATCTACAAGGAGCTGAGAAATGGGATCAAACCTCGAGTCAAAATACCATATAAATAATCTCACTACCAGCTACAGACATATAAATATTATACTCTGGCCTTTCATACGTAATGAGACATGTGAAGATTAAATCATATGTAATGAAACTTTAAACAAGGGCATGAAGACTAAAACAAAACGTCACCAATACTTCACGTGTTTGTATGTATACACTACATTCCACCACACAGTTGATCTGAGGAACAAAAGGAAATTTACCAATTATGCAATTTTGAGTTTTATTTCAAGTTCTAGTCCTGCCTGACATGTTTGATGAGTACAGAAGGGAAATCCAAACATACTTTATTATTCAGGCAACATAATTATGTCGCCAGGTTGGATGTCCATTTGAATGTGAATCCAGGTGCCCCGCCATGGGGCAAAATCAGTCTCTGCAAATTCATTGAAGTCTTCCAACTGAAATTCAAATCTGCCATCAGTACGTCTGTGGTCAATCTTATCTTTCTTGATGGTGCTCATAGCCGTTTTCAATAATACATAAATCTCATTGACCAATCAAGTGGTCAACCTAATGTTTTGTCATGTGTCAAAGTGTCCGAACATGTGTCAGTCTTTGGGTCCCGCTTGGTATTTATATCACATTTCCATGTGGTATTTATACACCAAATAGTGTCAAGACATTTGACAATACCAGTTTCCTATCAGGTGTCCAGTCTGGTATTTCTACCAGTACCCCTTGACCATGTCCAATCTGGTGTCCATACCAGTTATAAATCAGGTGTCCATCAAGGTGTCTAGTCTGGTATTTCTACCAGTTATCCTCCAGGTGTCGGGTCATGTAACAATGCACATTTTCAATCAGGTGTCAACTGAGTTGGTATGACTGGTGGTTGGTTATACCAGGTGTTGGTCAAGGTGTCCAGCCCTGTGTCTGGAGTTCACACATCCGAGTCCCTGTCAGGGATATAGGTCATCTGACAGTGGTGTTAATCAAGGAATGCTGCAAGTGCTGCCGGTCAGAGTGAGAGTTGCTCTATCTTTTCAGTTTCTTGATCATCTTCATTGTCTTCTGCATCATCGGTGCCACTCTCCTTATCGCTGTAACATCAAACAAGAACAAGAAGATCACATGCCTGGCTGTTATTTACCTGATTCAATGTTCAGATGCCAACCCTAACAGTTTTATCAACCTCATCATTCTTAGGGACGGACCATTTAGAATTTCGGGGTGGGGCGTGGGGGGCTGAGGGGGATTTGTGTTTGAGACAGAACATATTGTCAATGTCACGCTCCAAGACAGTTTTGTTAGGACCCACAGGACATTACAGTATTTTTCAACAACATCCATCATGTTCAGTGAACAATTTATTTACTTTTGTCAAATTTGAGAACAAATCAATTTTGGGGGGCAAAAAAAATCCCAGTTTCCGAATAAGAATATCATATTGTTGTCGCCTTCTGAACACCACACCTAACATTTGGAATTTGGAATCTAGAGGAATGACATGGTAGTAGGGAGACAACCCAAAGTATCGTCTGAATTCATTCCAAAGGTTTGTTGTTTTGGGCTGCCCCAGTCTTATCATGGCTGCCTGTAAATAATCAAGTCCCGGCAAGACAAACTCAGTATTTCATGCAAATTTCTATGGTAATAAGCTTAAATACAAAGGTATAAAACATTTGAACAATGAAAAGTGAGTGACTGAGTGAGTTGGGTTTAACGCCACTTTTAACAATATTCCAGTTATATCACAGCGTGTCAGCTTAATGTGGGAGGAAAGCCTGAAGTGATCCCGGTCTCAGACGTTTACCACTTAGGTGAAACCCACGAGCACGGGTATGGTGCTGACAAACCTATCGGCGCGAACCAGGATTCGAATCCACAATCATAGGTTTCTGGCATGCCCAAGGGAAGAAGCTCTGCACAGCAAATCACGGCGCCTTAGACGACTGGGCCACCCATGCCCCCAGCAATGATGACAAAAGACAGAGAATATGTGATCACATAAACTCTATTGAGGAATACCCACTTGATATGATAACTAGCAATCCATAGTCAATCAATCAATGAAAGAATACTTTACCACACAGTTACATGTACAGTCTTTCATCAAGTCAGTTCAATCTTATAATATGGTTGTTCTGTTAAGAGAATATAACTCAAAGGCAATGACCTGAAAATATTGATGACAAAAAATCATCCTTGTACTTGTGTTAGAAAGTCTTCTATAAGCGTTTTAAAATCTTCATATTCCTGCTGAAGTAAACAACACATTCTCAAGTTCATTGAATACACTGGAGCATGTGGGGTGAGTGAGTGAATGAGTTGAACTCTGCTGTGCACAGTATTTCCATGAAGTGTATCACCTTCATGCAGACTCTTACAACTGTAATGCGACCCGTGAAGATTCGGGGTTGAATAGATCTTTAGCAACCCATGCTTGCCGTAACAGGCAACTATGCTTGTCGTAAGAGGGAACTAGTAGGATCCAGTGGTCAGACTCGCTGACTTGGTTGATGCATGTCATTGATCCCAACTGTGTGGATCGATGCTCATGATGTCAATCACTGGATTGTCTGGTCCAGACTTGATTATATACAGACCGCCGTCATATAGCTGGAATAATGCTGAGTGCGGCGTTAAACAACAAATAAACAAACAAACAAAAACAACTGTAATGCACGGACCCCTTCCAAAACGCGATAATAGCGCTAAGGTGATTGTAAGTCTCATACTTCAACATAGACTTACAACACTTGTAGCGCTATGATCACTTTGTGTAATGGGCCCTGGATTCTAAAGTGTTCTCATCCCACTAAGCCCTTCGAACCAAACACAGTTAGGACTTACGTTTCGAAGGAGGCACAGGCCGAGTAGCAACCGGGGCTTTAGAGCGGGACCAGCACATATCAACGTTGCCCTTGTTCGGCGCCGTGGAGATGGTGGCAGTCCCGTACTTCTGCTGCATGCGCTTGACTTCTCTGGGCGGCTTCGCCACGCTGTCCACATACGCCAGCTTCACCTTCTTGGCTGGAACACACAGATGGCATACTCTTGTAGTTTATCATTGATCAGTGGCCACAACCTGTTCACAAGTTATTCCCTTTTTACCTATGCACAGTCCAATCGAAATTACAAGTTATTCCCTTGTTATCTATGTACAGTCCAATCAAAATCATGCAACAAACTAGACCTCCAGTTTGTAAACATCATGGATTTCAACGTGCAGATTCAGTTGACTGCAGGATTTGCAAAGCATTTGTACCCTCAACTGGGCCTTGACAGCTGGTTTCCAAATCTTTACATGTTTTTAATCAAGGTGCTCAAGTGATTTAATCCACTTCGCGAGGTAAGACCTGTTTTATTGCAACATAGATCTTGATTATGGATCTGATCATCTTGACTTGGTTTGAAGTGAGAGGTGGACTCTGATTGGTCAATAAGGAGGGACATAGAAGCGATTTAAATCATAATAGCCACTGGTGACGCTACGATTGAGCCACGAAATTCCTGCCAAGTTCGGCAAGGGAAGAAACTGGACTTAAATAGATGCCTCAAGAAGATGGTGCTTAAAGGGCAAGTTCACACGGAAATGAACCTATTTTTCTTGTACTTTTTCCACATTAAAAGTGTTAACCTAGAAGTGTCATAGACAAAAATATAAAAATATCACTAATAATTGACATATTTTTTGCATTAAAATGATTTATATTTTTCACATTTACCAAGTGTTCTATTTCCATAACAAAAACACCATGGCTTATGCCCCTTACAATATGATGTCATTGGTGCCAATTGATAAACATTATGACGTCATCATGCTTTGTTAGAGCTGCTTCACGTGGTGTAGGTACAGGTGTGTGATTCTAGCGTCTCAGATGCCAGCAAGCATAGTGTTATGCTGAGTCACCACTGCGCCGGAGTGTGTCGTAGGCCATGTTGTTTTACCACTAAAAGGTACTTGATATCTTTTGCGTTGAGAATAGACAGGGACCCAGTTGAATTGGCACCAATTACGTCATAATCTAAGGGGGATAACTCAGGCCTGTTTAGCTCGAAAAACGAAGGCCTCATAACGGCATATCATTTTCACACTATTGTGAGCTTCCTACTTTCACTGTGAAAAAAATGAGTGTATATTTTCAAACACAGATACTAACTAATTCTAAAATTGCGTTTTGTTTAGAAAAAGATAGAAAATGATTTTTGTGTGTACACTTCCCCTTTAACACATTTCTACACTTCATACAAGAGTTGCCTCCCTTGAACAGCCAACCTGTTGTATCCAGTTTCTTGACAGTTTTAGACATGCGTCCCTTCAGTCTTTCGTACTTTGCTTCCCTTTCATCCAGCAAACGCTGAAAGCAAAACAACAAGGACTCAATAATAACTCAAAATTACAACAATAACAACAACAACAACAATCACAATAGGCGTAAATGACTTGAAACCAAACCACAAGGGTGCGGACAGGTCCAGGAACAGTCTGGGCATATCAGGGACTAGGACCAATAATCAGCTGATCCAAGCATGGCAAAATGGTCAACCATGCACACAGAGATGCAGTGTCTCAGACTACTCAGGTTTCAAACCCTGATGACAAATATTGTTTAAATAAAGCCTTACATATTTTTGGCTTGGTTTACAGATTCACGGGAAAATATACAATCAGAATGACAAGGGATATTATATACCACAGACAGTAAAGATCACCTTGACAATAATAATCTAAGCGATTTTTATGTAAACAAAACAGAATTTTTGAAACGATAAATCATCATTACAAAACAGATTTTAGATTTATAATATCTATAAGGGCCCAAACAAGGACAAGAATTCATTTTTCTTATAAAATACCAATTCTTATCTAACTGTAAGATCATAAAAAATTCTGAACAATGGACCATTTTTTCCACCCAATTTTTCACAATCAACATCCCTAAAAATCTGGCCTTGCACATGACAGGTATGTTGCTGATGAACCAGTGAGCATTGTCTGGGACATGTATTTGCATCCAGTATCATAGGATTATGGCACATCAACATGTAACACTTTGCCACTGCCTCTCTGACCCCACGTACCAGGTACATCTCCCTCCATGTCTCCATCTCCTCCGGTCCCTCCTTCCGAAAGTCTCTCTCACAGTGCTTGTGCCACAGGTCGTCCGTATCCTCCAGAAAATGCTGAATCAAACACACAAATACTTCACCATCAAACACACAAGTCCTTCATCATCAACACAAGAGTAATTCACTATCAAACACACAAATACTTCACCATCAAACACAAAAGTACTTCACTATCAAACACACAAATACTTCACCTTCAAACACACAAGTCCTTCACCATCAAACACAAGAGTAATTCACTATCAAACACACAAATACTTCACCATCAAACATACAAATACTTCACCATGAAACACACAAATCCTTCACTATGAAACACAAGAGTAATTTACTACCAAAACACACAAATACTTCACTATCAAGTGGACAAATACTTCACATAAATCACAATGAAACACACAAATACTTCACTATTAAACACACAAGAACTACACTATTAATCACTCAAACACTTTACAATCAAACACACATATACTTTACCATCAATATCACAACTACTTCACCATCAAACACGAAACACTTACAATTCCTCATTAAACTAATCTTATCCTACAAATTTGCATGGCTCTTTTTCCTTTCCATATTTGCCTGGAAGAGTGAATGACCTTGGCTCAAAGAATTAAATGAACATCAGATGTTCACAAACTTTCAGTCATAAAATTCCACCACCCTTTAAAGGACATTTCAAGACATAAAATAAAATTATTAAGGCCATTTTTTGATAAACCAATAACAGACAACAAACTCATTTTCACACACACATATCGGAGCTGTTGACCAAAACATTGTACAGGATTCCATGAGCCTTAGATGATAATTGAGAGAAGGGAGGTAACTCTAAACAAAGTCTAGTACAAAGTCGTAGAGATCATCAATAAAGACAGTTTTATGTCATCAAAACATGCAAAATGGATAGAGTATCAAGCATAATTTTCACACATTCATTTCTGTCAAATTGCTCTTAATTTCATGCTTTCGCAAAACAATCATGTACTGGGTATTCAAGATCTTCTTAAGACAAATGTCACAATAACAGTTTTTTCAAAGCTGTGTATCTATGAAAATGCAGACATTACATGCATCTGACTGATTTTTGTTCCAAGCCAGCATTGAACACTGTTTGGTTCTGCTGTGGAGACCAAATCAATGTGTTTCAATGGAAATGAATATTGTATATCAGAATTCTGTGACCACTACAAAGAAACCATTGTTATAAACACAAAGACGTAACTCTTAAGACCAAGAGGTTTCAGTCGAGATGTCGCAAATGTAGCAAATCTTAATGTATGTAAACAGCTACAGCAAGGTCCCTCCATTCAGTCGAGCCAAAAACTCAAGAAAGTAGTTAACGACACTATGGTTAATTTGTGTACAAAGACCCATTTGCTTCCTTGAAATGAAATAACCAACAACATTTAAATGTCCTTAATAACAAAAGGCACCAGTTCACCAACTGACTGATACACATGTGCAAAGTGAATGGTCTGAGGCATTATGCTCCCGAAAAAAAAGTGGCTGGACAGACAGATGGTGATAGCATTTCAATGGTTAGGTTGGTTGGTTTGTTGTTTAACGCCGCACTCAGCAATATTCCAGCTATATGACGGTGGTCTGTAAATAATCGAGTCTGGACCAGACAATGACAGTGATTGATATCATTAGCATCAATCCATGCAATTGGGATCAATGACATGCATCAACCAAGTCAGCGAGCCTGACCACCCGATCCCGTTAGTCGCCTTTTACGACAAGCATAGTCGCCTTTTACGGCAAGCATGGGTTACTGAAGACCTATTCTACCCAGGAATCTTCATCATGATACGCAGTAAATAATAAAAATTGGATTTCAACAACGCTTTATGCTGTCAGAGCATTATGGCTCACAACTAGCAATTAAGTGTAATCTCCCAATTTACATTTTAGTCAGCATTTATGATAAGCAAGGATAAGAATTTATGGATGAACAACTCTTTATTACAATTAAGAGGGAAGTGTCGGTGTAGGTTCTAAGGGAGCATTGGGTGATTGCACCTATTCTGCCACTGAATACCCTCAGGATCACTGGACAAAGGTGTGGAACTCACAGGGTTGCAGTCCTCCATGTTGTAGAGCTGTGTGGCGGTGCATCTCTTCAGCACAGGCATCAAGATGTCAGCAGGAATACCACCCACATAGTCAATGGCTGAAACAATAGAGGGTGTGAGTAGGGATGAACCTGATTGAGTAGGGAACACTGTAGTCCTACTCATCCTGTCGGACAGGACTGTTGGACATATAGATAGGGAGTTGGGTTTTACACCACTTGTAGCAATATTCCAGCAATACCATAGGGACACCAGAAATATGCTTCACAAATTGTAGCGATGTACAGAATCAAACCTGTCAAGGGTCCTGTTACACAAACCCAACTCAGGTGATCGTAACTCCCATACTTTAACATTGGCTTACGATAATCGTAGCACTAAGATTGCTGTGTGGAACGGGGCCCAGGGGCTGTGCACACTGCCCCTAGACAAGGAGATCTTTGCTATTTACTATTCCTGTTCTGTAAAGCACAGATGACCATAACATGAATACATACAGAGAAATCAATTCATTTATCTTAGTTTTCATCCCAATAAACCTTGTCTGAAAGGATAACGTGGATATCAGTTCAGAGTGAGTGAGTGAATGAGTTGGGTTTAACGCCGCTTTTAACAATATTCCAGTTATATCACGGCATGTCTGCTTAATGTGGGAGGAAAGCCCGAAGTGATTCAGGTCTCAGACGTTTACCACTTCGGTGAAACCCACGAGTACGGGTATGGTGCTGACAAACCTAGAAACATAATCGGGGCGAACCGGGATTCGAACCCACAATCATAGGTTTCTGGCGTGCCCAAGGGAAGAAGCTCTGCACAGCGAATCGCAGCGCCTTAGACAACTGGGCCACCCGTGCCCCCAATATCAGTTCAGAACGTGCTCATAGGTTTATATTGTAAGTGACGTGTTAAGTTCTGACATCGTGTTCAGTAAATGCCAGGAAATCTGAATCGTGGGAAGGCAAAACAACTCTTAAACTACAGACGAACATCCCAGCTAACACACTACGTTGTTGTAAGGTTGAGGATTCGTAACGTTGTGATACAACCTTGTCACAATGTTGGTATTACATCACCATGCAACGTTATTTCACAACGTAATAACAATGTTGCACATTTATGTAGTGGAAACGTTGTGTATTGGACATCACACAATGTTTTGTAACTACGGTTCTGAAACACTGGTGAAATGTTATACAGTTTGCTTCTTGATAGTCATATAGGAACAGAACTGCTTCATCAAAATTGTCAGAAGGCAGTAATGCTATACTTACCTATATATTCAGCATTTGAATTTTCACCCATTAATACTAAAATCTCCAGAACGTAATACCAAGCAAAAATGTTATAACAAACTCAAAGGGAGCACTAATTCTAGTTCGCTATAACCGTAGTTCGTTATAACCGTAGTTCGTTACAAGCAGGTATACAGCACATATTCAGCAAATTGCTGGGACCAAAAAACCCCAGTTTGTTATATCCATCAGTTCATTAAAAGCGTGTTCATTACAAATGTAGTTTACTGTATTTGTTTCAGGGTCTGTATGACAGACTAGTAAAAATATTGCAATACCCGGTACTACATCAGTGATTTTGCTAAATGTGTTTGTTGGTTAACGCCGCACTCAGCAATATTCCAGCTATATGACAGTGGTCTGTAAATAAACAAGTCTGAACCAGACAATCCAGTGACTGACATCATGAGCATCGATCCACGAAATTGGGATACGACGACATGCAACCAAGTCAGCGAGCCTGACCACCATCCAATTAGTGGCCTCATACGACAAGTATAGTCGCCTTTTACAGCAAGCATGGGTTGCTGAAGACCTATTCTACCCCGGATCTTCACGGGTCGATTTGGCCAAAGATGGCATTGGGACATTTTCATGATCTTATTAACTTTTCATTGGTAGAAGACATTTTTCTATATCATTACCAAAGTACAGGACATTTTTTATGAAAATAAGTCCGTGTCCTAGACAATGAACTGATATTAAAAGCTGCTATGCAAATATTACATGGGGAACCATCCCTGTTTGACCAACAACCTCATGATGATACTCACAATCAATGTTATCTATAAGGACTTGCATACAGATGTCAAATAGAGGCTTCATTGCTGGAAGGAAAGGTTAAGAAATCAGACATGGAAACACAACATCTTCAACATAAGTGGATCAAAGAGTAAACGTCGGAGCCTGTGACAATGTCTGTCATAGGTTCAAAGAGTGTATGTCAGATCTTGAGACAATGTATATCATAGGTTCACATAGTGTGTGTTTAATGGTATGAAAGTCGGAGCTTCATATCAGATGATTCATATCGTGTGAACATACCCGTATATATGATTATCTGTCAAATATTTGTAACTTGCAGTATCTGTCGGATTACGATTGTCAAAGATTGTCTTACTTGTCGTGGTGTGTTTTCTGCCTGAGTACACCTGTGTGCGGGTATTGGATTTGAAGCCAACCTTCGCTGGGTCATGCACTGAAAACACAAGACATACATATCACTAAACATGTTTGATAAGCTAAACCAATTCAATGACAGTGGTAGACACCATGTGCTATTGCATGAAATTGTAAACCATAATTAATTTCAGAATAGTTTGATGTCTATACATGTTCTTGAAAAGAAACAACCAGCCACTACAATTCTTCCATGGGATCACAGAGGGCCTGATGTACAGAAGACAACCGTGCAGAATTGTGAACGTTATTTGGCTTCTATGGTTGTCAGCAGCACCTCCACATGTGGGTTCCCCGAAGAGGTTCTGTGAAATCCCTGTGACCTCTTCGGGCTCTCCTCCTACATTAAGCTCATACTGAAATTCTTTTCAAATTGTTAAAAAACAACTTATTCTTTCACTACAGGATTTCACTAAAGATGGCTTAGATGTTTGGGCCACTCATTCCCTAAAGCACCATAGGCAAATTGGCCATATGTGTCCCTGTTACCATGGTTACTGAAAAGGAAGGAAAAAGTGAATTTTCTTGTCTTGTTCCTGAAGTAACTGCAGCCATGGCAACTGAACAGGTCAAACCAGTGTAATATATTTTCATTCTGATATGATAAATACCCTGAACACAATTGACACAAACGCTTAGCCTTGAGACCATTTTGAAAGACAGGGGATTAAATTTTGCTGTCCAATCTTTCAGGCTTGAAACAAGGTGTGATTTCACCAGTTCTCCATTTGCTTTGTCACATAGTCCCAAATACAACTAGCATGAAGCATAGGCGATAGAAAATAACAGTTTTAGTCCACTAGTCCTCATAATGCTATCACACGAGGGGCGTTCAATAACTTCAATATAAGACCAAGTCACTGAATATCTTTTGCACTTTTATTTTTCAGAATAATCTCCATTCAACTCAATACACTTATTCCATTTGTCCTTCAAGCTTTTAATACCACTTTTATAGAAATTCACAGATTGGCCCTCTAATCATGCCTCTGTGGCAGCCTTTATGTCCTCGTCATCCTGGAAGCGTCTTCGTGTGTGGCAGATTTCATTTGCCGGAACAGGAAATAGTCACAGGGGGCTGTAGGTGGGTGATTTAACTGTTCTAATCCACATTCACATATGGCGGCCTGTGCAATTCTCGACTTGTGAACCGGAGCATGTAAGGAACTTTATTACAGCGAGTTGTTCACGTTTGAGAGAATCCTTGATTGTGACCACCCTTAGGTGAATGAAGCCATCACAACTAACTTATTGTTGTGTCTGGAACTTGTTATGACACGTGTCAACCTGATGTTATGACCAGTGTCACACCTGCCACAAGTTGACATTGTTTGTGTAAACACAAATGCCCAAGTTGCAAAACTTATTGAACGCCCCTCGTATAGCAAAACCTTTACAAATGGCAACTTTCTACTCTTCCTTATGACACCTTAACTATTGGGCTGTTTGGCAAGGGCAATAGGAATAGTGCCAATTTCTAACGTTGTTAATACTTAATTTTTTCTGATTGCAAATATACAGGGGTACGGTAGTACAATCCAGGGTGCCGTTGTACAAAACAGCCATTGCGCTTGCCTGTCGTAAGTGTATGTTAAAGTATGGGAGTTACGATCACCTTAGAACTAAGATCGCTTTGTATAACTGCATCCAGGCCACAATGTTAAATGAAAAGCTATGAGTAAATCCTGTACCGGAGAGACACTTTAACTTGTTAATTCAAGCAAGAGAATTTCTACGGTTGTGATAAGAGAGATTTTGTGGCAAACTAGTCCATTGTATTCATCATATAGAATGGTAGTGAGGTGAGGTCGGACTCTACATTGCATTCACGATTATTACACTTGTAGTGGTGTGCATGCATGTGTGTGTGTGACTGCTTGTACTAATCCATCTTGTACTTGTCCGTCTTATGCTAGTCTTATAGTGCTAGCCCACTGAGACACCAATTTACCATGCCACAGTTTAACATGGCTTTCCCAATCAGACACAGTATATGACTCAAGCCAGCTAGTCCATGTTTTCTCCCCTCATTGATGTTAATAATGAGCACAAGGCAAGGTAACAACAAGTTCCATCTCTTAACGTCATAAGGAATAACTCGGCCTGGAGATCAAACTACCGACCTTCCGGTCTCCAGGGACATACTATCCACTACACCACAGAGATGGCCATATAACAGAAATGAGGTATAACAAGCATAACACTGAAAAATCAAGGTTGGGTGGTTGGTTTGTTGTTTAACACCACACTCAGTAATATTCCAGCTATATGACGGCGGACTGTAAATAATCGAGTCTGGACCAGACAATCCAGTGATTGATATCATCAGCATTGATCCACGCAATTGGGATCGATGACATGCATCGACCATGTCAGCGAGCCTGACCACTCGATCCTGTTAGTCGCCTCTTACAACAAGCATACCCGCCTGTTACGGCAAGCATGGGTTGCTGAGGAGCTATTCTACCCCGGCTGAAAAATCAAGAAAGAGTGAGTGCGTGAGTGTGGTTTTATATCGCTTTTAGCAATATTCCAGCAATATCACCGCAGGCGACACCAGATATGTGCTTCACACATTGTACCCATGTGGGGAATCAAACCGGCATGGCAGGCAAACGCTTTAACCACTAGGCTACCCCACCGCCCCAATCAAGGAAGAAGACAGAATACACAGTTTCAGCTACAGGCATGTTGTAGAGTTGCTCACCTTGCTTCTTCTCCACCTCGTTGAACCTCCACGGCCTGTAGTGAGCGTGAGTCTCTGGGAGGTAGCCCAGGATGTCCTGCTCCGTGATCCTCACCTGGACAACCCACACACAACTTCACCCACATCCTCATCACGTTCATTTTATCATATTGACATACATGTTTTCCATAACAGTTGTTAGCAGTTATTGATCACATGTTAAAGGCAACATTTATTTTTATTCTTTAACCATGTTAACATGGTTAACATGCTGGGTTAATCCATAAAAGTAATGACAAATCAGTTTGAGTTGCAAATTCATTGAACTGTCCTCACACTTATCATGTAAGCACAAGTTTTGAAATAGATGTCATCATCTATAAGGATGTAATTTCCTGATACTAGACTTAAACAAAAATAAGAATTGGTTCTCAGGCAATGATTTTTGAAAATATAGTGCGGGCGGGCGGTGGTTTTGGGGTTTATTTTTTGGCTTGTTCAAACTAGTATGTAACCAAATAGACAGTTGTTTACCATCTACCTGGGAAAGGGCCTCCCTACATAAACAAGCATACAAACTCCTATTGCTAGAATTACCATAACATGAGATGCACAGTAAAGCAATGCACATGTAACGGGAAGTAACTATATTGGGTCGCATTGTTTTGAGGTATTAAGACTTTTTTGTTAAAAATTAAAAATGGAAATAAAAACGAAACATGCAGCAGACCTGATGATGCGGGCGGTGCCTGAGAACCAAGACTATTACTTTTAGCCCTATATATGAGAAAAGGAGAAGCCTCAAAGTACTGACCAAAGAATTAAAAAAATTATTGTCTTTTGTAGAGTTCAGAACATGTGCAGAAGTATTTATGTTATGTTGTTGTCATGTTTTTCAGTTTTCAAATCACATTTCTTTTACTTTGCTTTATTTATCAACACAAACAGCAAATTCCTTTCAAATACACTGAACATGGGTAAATGAAGCATTGATAAACATGATACACATCACATTGCTTGTTGCCGTATGTCTCAGCATCAATATTCCCCCTGTATCATGGCAGCCTGTGACTACTATTGCCAGGGCAAGTATAACAGTGGTTGACATCGTTGCCAGCAAGACTATCATACCAAGGTACCAGGGACAATGTTACACAAGCAGCCAAATCACAGAGCCTGACCACACAATCATCATGGTCAACCCTTGTGCCAAGCATGAGCTACAGGGGACCAAGGAACTGGATCCACACAAGTTCATAATCAATGCAACAGTTTGTGCCACTCACAAGACCCCGAGGAAAATCATGTAAGCAATACTCACATCTTTCGGTGCTGGGGGCACCCCAAAGCCTGATGTTCCTGCTTCGGGTTGCAGGACAGGACTCTCGTCCCTCACCGGTTTCATCTCTGTCTTTTTCTTCACTTTAAACTTGTCATAATTCATTTTATTCTCGACAGGTGCTGCCATCGTTTTGGGTCTCTTTGGTGCCGATGAAGTATCACACTTCAAAAAATCATCAAATGACATATTGTTGTCATCTAACTCCACATGTTTCCGTTTTTCTACCTTCTTCTTCTTGTCACTACTTTTAGAACTGTCCTTCCCACTATTCTGAACAGCTCCACTACTCCCTGAATGACTATCCCTGCTGCTACTCTTGGAATGAGGGTCACTAGCACTGGTCTTTGAGTGCCGGTCTTTGGACCGTTGTACATCATGCTTAGACCTCTCCTTAAGTTCCTTCACCTCTCGACTCTCATCCCTATGTTTGTCCTTTTTCGGCACATTGGAAGAATGTTTGTCACTCCTGTGTTCTGACTTCATGTGACTATTCCCTGAGACTGAATACTTTTCATGTTTACTAGGCACAGCATTAGAATGAGAGTTGGCTTTAGAAGAGTGAGAAGGCTTAGGAGAATGTGTTCTCTCTGGTTTAGGCAATGTAGGTTTGGAAGAAGCACCTGTAGGATTCACTGGTTTAGGCTTTGGTTTATTCGAAACCGTTTTGACTTTCTCAGATTTGTCAACACTAAATAAATCAAACACTGAGGCTCCATGACCTGATACAGGTTTGGCTTTCTTTTTTGACACAATCTTCTCATCTTTTTCCGGAGTAAACAAACTAGCAGAGGAATACATATCATCCTTGGAAGGTTTGGCGCTGCCAGATTTAGAGCCGGAATGTGAAGAACTAGGTTTGGAGTCTTTATCTCTCCGGTGCTTGTCAACATCACTTTTTTGTTCCTTTCTCTGATCTTTAATTTCCTGTTTCTTAGGATCACTATGCTTTGGCTTCCCATTACTACCCACAGATCTACTGCCACTGTCACTGTGTTTTGATGATCGATGATCAGTGTGTTTTGATCTAACATCTTGTGGCTTAGGAGACTCCAGTCTGTTTGAACTGGAGTGACTTTTCTCCTTACTGGAATGTTTAGTCCTGTCTGATGAGGAACCTTCTCTATACTTCTCTTTCTTGGGGTCATGTTTCTCCTTCATTCTGTGCCTGTCTTCCCTAGAAAGTGACACTTCACGGCTGTCGCTATGTTTATGTTTAACATCCATCTTTGGGGAGTATTGTGGGCTGTCTCTATGTTGATGTTTAAGATCCCTCTTTGGGGAGTGTTGTGGGCTATCTCTATGCTTGTGTTTAAGATCCCTCTTTGGGGAGTGTTGTGGACTATCTCTATATTTGTGTTTTAAATCCCTCTTTGGGGAGTGTTGTGGACTTTCCCTGTATTTCTGCTTCTTTGCCTCTTTGTATGATGCATGTCTTCCGCTGTCTGGACTGTTCTGATAACCATGTCTCTTTCTATCTGGACTGTTCTGATAACCATGTCTCTTTCTCTCTGGACTGTTCTGATAACCATGTCTCTTCCTGTCTGGACTCTCTTGATAACCATGTCTCATTCTATCTGGACTATCTTGATAACCATGACTCTTCCTGTCTGGACTATCTTGATAACCTTCACTGCCACTATCAGGGCTCCCCTGATAATGGTGTCTCCCCCTATCAGGACTATGGCCATGCCTTTTTCTATCAGGGCTCTCCTGATAACCACGTCTCCCTCTCTCTGGTGAACTTTCGTTTGATTGCACGTCGTCCTCCTCCTCCTCACTCTCTGAGGTATGCTCATCACTGTCAATAAACATGTTTTTGGGTCGGCGTGGTGGTTCCTCATAGTCCTGCTCCTCTTCTCCTCCACTGTCTCCTGGAGACTGATCTCCTGCTGAGGAATACCTCCTGTCTGATTCATCTCCTAGGAATTGTAAAACTTGGTCAAACTCAAGATAAAACAAACCAAAATGACGTATCTAGGTGTTCTCTGGGTGATCTTCATTCCCAGTCTATTGGACTAAACTATAATCAGGGACTTATCTTTGGGGATATGGGCCGATCTTCAGCCACTGGGTCTGTGGGACTAAACTACAATATGGGATTTATGTTGGTGTTCTCTGGGCGATCTTCAGCTCCAGTCAATAGGACTAAACTACAATATGGGATTTATGTTGGTGTTCTCTGGGCGATCTTCAGCTCCAGTCAATAGGATTAAACTACAATCAGGGATTTATGTTGATGCTCTCTGGGCGATCTTCAGCCACTGGTCTGTGGGACTAAACTACAATCAGGGATTTATGTTGATGCTCTCTGGGCGATCTTCAGCCACTGGTCTGTGGGACTAAACTACAATATGGGATTTATTTTGGTGTCCTCTGGGCGATCTTCAGCCCCAGTCAATAGGAGTAAACAGGGCTTTATATTGTATGGTGTCTGATGTGCTTATTTTTCCTCAAGGAATATGAATGGTTTATGTGTTAGGCCCAACAATCTGAAACCCTCACCTATGTCCAACTGTTTACTGCCACAGAAACACATGAAATAAAAATTTCTAAAATTCCTGATTGCCATGAGGCATCAGTTCAGCACTTGCATGAAGTGCATAAAAGAATTTACAAAGAAACAAACAGTTGACAAGATATGTTTGGGAAACGATCCCCAACCTCATTTAAAAAGTAAGTTCAACTAATACTGGAAACACACAAATCTAAATATAATTATTTTCTTAAAATTTCTTAATAAAGCAATTTAAGCATACCTTATGTCTGGGAGAAATATTGGAAAGTTCATGAGTTATGCCCTAGAAACAAACCCAATCCTAATCTGAACCTAAATCCAACCTGTTACCCTGGAAACTAATAAATGGAAAACATAAACTTTCCTGAACAGCAAAAGGCACAAGATCAGCACAAGGCAGACAGGCAGATAGAATGACAGTTTGGCTGGTCACTGGGAAAAGTGTATATGTTAACCTACCTGAGTCATGCTCTGGTTCTCGTTCTGGTTCAGGAGAAGGGGAGCGGGATGGTTCAGGGGATGGGGAGCGTGATGGTTCAGGGGATGGGGAGCGTGAACGTTCAGGGGAGGGGGAGGGTGATCGTTCGGGGGACGGGGAGGGGGGTGGAGTGGGTGAACGCCTGGAGGAACCTTTCTTCTTCGAGGTGCTGGCCTCATCGGCAACTTGATTCTTCCATCTGGCTACCAGTTCTCTTGCCCTGGCACCTATTTCAGTGTCTCTCTTGCGGAATCCATTTACTAGCTTGCCTAGTCCAGTTTCCTGTAAATATAGGTGATTTTCTATATCACAACCACTGTTTACAAAGGTTAGTTCCAGGAAAGGGAACAATGATTGATGGAATGGGGAGTTGGAAAACAAACAACAGTAGGTAGCAAGCAGTGGGGAGTGGGGAGTGGGGAGCATTGGTGGTTGGATTCAAGGTTGGAAACATTGCCATTTGGTGGGGGTAATTAGGGGTGAGGAACACTGAATGGGGAATGCTGATGGGTGGACTCAGGGCTTGGGAACGTTGATCTGTGGAATCTGGGGTGGGGAACACTAAACGGGTAGAATCAGGGGTGGGGGACAATGAAGGATGGAATCATCAGGACTGGGGTACACTGATGGGTGGAATCAGGGGGGGTGGGGGACAATGAAGGATGGAATCAGGACTGGGGAACACAGATGGATGGAATCAGGGGTGGGGGACAATGATGGGTGGAATCTGGGGTGGGGGACACTGATGGGTGGAATCTGGGGTGGGGAACACTGATGGGTTGAACCTGGGGTGGGGAACACTGATGGGTAGAATCTGGGGTGGGGGACACTGATGGGTGAAATCTGGGGTGTGGGACACTGATGGGTGGAATCTGGGGTGGGGGACAATGATGGGTGGAATCTGGGGTGGGGGACAATGAAGGATGGAATCAGGACTGGGAAACACTGATGGGTGGAATCAGGGGGGTGGGGGACAATGAAGGATGGAATCAGGACTGGGGAACACTGATGGGTGGAATCAGGGGGGGTGGGGGACAATGAAGGATGGAATCAGGACTGGGGAACACTGATGGGTGGAATCAGGGGGGGTGGGGGACAATGAAGGATGGAATCAGGACTGGGGAACACTGATGGGTGAAATCTGGGGTGGGGGACACTGATGGGTGGAATCTGGGGTGGGGGACACTGATGGGTGGAATCTGGGGTGGGGGACAATGAAGGATGGAATCAGGACTGGGGAACACTGATGGGTGGAATCAGGGGGGGTGGGGGGACAATGAAGGATGGAATCAGGACTGGGGAACACTGATGGGTGAAATCTGGGGTGGGGGACACTGATGGGTAGAATCTGGGGTGGGGGACAATGATGGGTGGAATCTGGGGTGGGGGACAATGATGGGTGGAATCTGGGGTGGGGGACAATGATGGGTGGAATCTGGGGGGGGGGGACACTGATGGGTGGAATCTGGGGCAGCAGACAATGAAGGATGGAATCAGGACTTGGGAACACTGATGGGTGGAATCAGGGGGGGTGGGGGACAATGAAGGATGGAATCAGGACTGGGGAACACTGATGGGTGAAATCTGGGGTGGGGGACACTGATGGGTAGAATCTGGGGTGGGGGACAATGATGGGTGGAATCTGGGGTGGGGGACAATGATGGGTGGAATCTGGGGGGGGGGACACTGATGGGTGGAATCTGGGGCAGGGGACAATGAAGGATGGAATCAGGACTTGGGAACACTGATGGGTGGAATCAGGGGGGGTGGGGGACAATGAAGGATGGAATCAGGACTGGGGAACACTGATGGGTGAAATCTGGGGTGGGGGACACTGATGGGTAGAATCTGGGGTGTGGGACAATGAAGGATGGAATCAGGACTGGGGAACACTGATGGGTGGAATATGGGGTGGGGGACACTGATGGGTGGAATCTGGGGTGGGGGACACTGATGGGTGGAAGCTGGGGTGGGGGACAATGATGGGTGGAATCTGGGGTGTGGGACAATGAAGGATGGAATCAGGACTGGGGAACACTGATGGGTGGAATATGGGGTGGGGGACACTGATGGGTGGAATCTGGGGTGGGGGACACTGATGGGTGGGGGACACTGATGGGTGGAATCTGGGTTGGGGGACAATGATGGGTGAAATCAGGGATGGGGGACAATGAAGGTAGGAATCTGGACTGGGGAAGTGCGTGATAAGTGCAGGATTTAACCACTAGGCCACCCCAGCAACCTCCTTGATGTAATTGATTCCAATAATCAAACCCTCTCCACGAAACCTGACGTAAGTACATATCTTACAGGCATACAAATGATGAATGGCTTAGATCCATAGGTTAATTACTCATTGGCAATTCATTGATGGAATCCTTACACAAGAAGGATAATATAGGATTTTCAGTTGATCTGAGTGCGAGTCTTCATACCCTTTGATTTACAGGCTACAGACCTGGCTCCAGATCACAATACATGACATATGGCAGCACACATTCAATACTACCCATACTGGACACACTCCCTTCGACTGACCTGCAACAGTGATATGGAAACTTGGAGGACGGACAGCTTATTGAGAACCAGCAGCACCTGAAATGAAAGAAAACAGTTACAAGGAATGGATGTAAGAGTGAGTGAGTGAGTGAGTGAGTGAGTGAGTGAGTGAGTGAGTGAGTGAGTGAGTGAGTGAGTGAGTGAGTGAGTGAGTGAGTGAGTGAGTGAGTGAGTGAGTGAGTGAGTGAGTGAGTGAGTGAGTGAGTGAGTGAGTGAGTGAGTGAGTGAGTGAGTGAGTGAGTGAGTGAGTGAGTGAGTGAGTGAGTGAGTGAGTGAGTGAGTGAGTGAGTGAGTGAGTGAGTGAGTGAGTGAGTGAGTGAGTGAGTGAGTGAGTGAGTGAGTGAGTGAGTGAGTGAGTGAGTGAGTGAGTGAGTGAGTGAGTGAGTGAGTGAGTGAGTGAGTGAGTGAGTGAGTGAGTGAGTGAGTGAGTGAGTGAGTGAGTGAGTGAGTGAGTGAGTGAGTGAGTGAGTGAGTGAGTGAGTGAGTGAGTGAGTGAGTGAGTGAGTGAGTGAGTGAGTGACAAACCTAGAAACATAATCGGGGCGAACCGGGATTCGAACCCACAATCATAGGTTTCTGGCGTACCCAAGGGACTCAACTCTGCACAGCGAATTGCAGCGCCTTAGACGACTGGGCCACCCGTGCCCCCAATGGATTAAAGAAAGAAGGTTTCACTTACATGTGTCAGTAGCAGTGAGCAGCAGTGGTGTAACAGTATTGTATCCCGATACGAAGCCCACAATACAATACATCCATTTACAACCCCTGTAGTCTGACTCACAGTCCCTGAACCATATAATTTTCCCTTCCACCCAGCTCTTTCTGTAATGCAAAATCTCTTAATGATTCTTAATGGTTCAGGTTCTGAATCACCCTTCTCAATGGGGCTCTTTTTCAATTTAAATGGAGTTATTTCTTTCCATCAAAATTATATATTTTCAGAGACTAAGCGTTAGTCTACAACCCCTGTACTGCAATACATGCGAAACATTACATTACATTACAGGTTATATGGGTGTAAAAACTTGTGAATAATAACAGAAACTGTTTAGCAACCAGCTTATCCAGATTCTCTATTATCTACATTATCCCATATTCAATTTTCTACAGTTAAAAACAAATATTTCAGGGTTGTGATTCACCTGCCAAAAGAAAGCATATCAGCTTATGAAATAAAGTACTGTATTGGAATATGAATCGTATTGCACCCATAGTATCAGCATAGGTATCATTTTGCCACTGAATTATTACACCTCTAATAAATAGGATTTTACAAATAGAACTTGCTGAATGATTTGTAAACCACAAAACCAACATTTAAGCTGGTAAATTCCTATACACCCTGCAAGTGACATGTGTAATTAATTTCCCATTTCAGGTTCACAACTGACAAATCCATGTTCTGTGAAACATTTGTGCATGATATTTAGATCTGCATGTGACCTTGAGCTCTCAGTGCGGAGCCTCAAAGTGAGAATGGGGTCAGTTGTGACATGACAAGCAAGCGGCATGACATCAACACAATCACTACGTGATATCTTCAGACCAGTCAGCCAAGGTGTATGATGGTCACTGGCCAGTCAGAGAGCTGGATTCTTTATGAGGAATGATATGGCATCTTATGACTATATCATGAGAGCCTGTTGCTGTAATCAGATAAACCAGCTTCTCTGGATGTGACCTAGGACTGTAACTATTAAAGGGAATGATCTTGTTTCATTATTTCATAAGTATTGTTATATGGTCAAAACATGATCATTACCCACTAAAGAATCTAGGTATCAGATTGGCCAGTTGGAGTTATGTAAAAACCATTACAGGTAAGTTTGCACAATACGAAGATTATGTTCATGTGGCAGCTGGTTCTGGGCCCCGTTCCACAAAACAAACTTAGTGCTACGACTGTTGTAAGTCTATGTTAAGTAGAGAGCTAACAATCGTCTCAACGCTATCATCGCTTTGTGGAACGGCACCCTGAACTGTTATTTGGTGATCATTGAATTTCCTAATTTTTGTTTTTAGATCATCGTTTGAACTATCCAGGGCCCACTTGCACAAAGCAATCTTAGCGCTAAGACTGTTGTAAGCCTATGCTGAAGTATGGGAGTTACGATCATCTTAGCGCTAAGATCGCTTTGTGCAAGTGGGCCCTGGTGTCTAATATTTATTGTTATCTTAGATTACTTTTACATTTACTCGCCATACTAATTTCGGTGAGACAGTGACAGCAAAATGGCACAGTAATGGCATGTGTTGGCAGGGAAACAAATGTGTGGATGGCTTGTTGGCAGGGGAAGCACAAAAGAAAATTAAACTTATGATATTTAAATTTACAGAAATCAGTTTAATATCATGCTACTGAAAAATTATATACTTTTATCTCAAACGGTTGAAAACATACTCAGTCTTTATCATAATGATCATGTATTATGGGCCTATATTTACAGTAAATCCTTGCATTATGTAAAGTGGTTTACGTTTTCATCGGTTTGACTGTAAATCAGTGTGTTTCAATGGTTCACTCTTCATTCCAAATGGCACACAACCGACGTTTACAAAGTACCATCATTAATCATTTCTAGATGAAGGAAAACAAACTTTCATTTATCAGCTGCTTATCCCTGGCTTGTTTCTCAAACCACCATTGAAGTTTAGGAATATCTCAATTCCTTCTTCAAAAATGGAAGATTACCATAAAACCATTAAAAAAACTCATTTCAACCGTAAAGGTTGTTTTTTTTTTGCTAGCCTTGCTTTTGTTTCTTGGTTTGCTTAGCTCAGCTGATAGACGCTGATTATTTCAGTGCAGTGGCTTTTAATTGCTGTTTAGCATCGATATACTTGGTTCGTAGTTATTGCACCGTGCATGAGGGAGACGACCATACATGTTTATGCTACCTTATTCCCGTATGGATGTGACTCTAGATACGCTTTATATTTCTTCAGTTTGTGAAAAGTTTCAGGATCCGCCATTGCATACGTCTACTAAGAGCAGATAACTCTAATTCACCGGTAACGGTCTCAGAAACTTATACAGCCGCTTCGTTTACTTTTATGACCTATGAGCCATGCCCGTGCTCGATTTTTTGCACTCAGATGAACAAGTGTTCTTGCGAACGGATTACCCGTGACTATGCTTTCGTCATTTGTAAAAGGTTTATATTTTGTTGTTCTATAAATTTGATGTTAAAAGTCTTTTTGCGAACATTTCTTAAAACAAACCGTGAAAACAAACAAGATGCGTTCATTCCCTAGACAAATGGTTGTGTGAGCTAGCAACCTGTTGTCTCACTGTCAAGTTTGGTGACGACGCAGCTTTGGTTGGCCTAATAAGAGAACACGGGTAACACTACACAGACAAAATATGGGACGTACCTATGTGGCGTGAGGACAATTATCTCCCGTTGAATGAAAACAAGACAAAAAGAAATTACCATTGACGTCAGACACCAAAAGACGACCAATACCTGTCAGTATGAGAACAACAGGACTGTGGAAGTTGTAAAAGAATATAACTATGTGAGAACGTTTATAGATAATACATTAATCTGGAATGTGAACACTGATGATTTTTTCTTAAAATGTCAACATACTTTAAGAGTACATTTTATATGCAAATTAAGACATTTTCATGTCTTTGTTTTCAGAAAGTGTTTTAACTTTTTTCCCTTTCGTGTTGGTATGGAGCTCTGCGACTTCATTATAAATCACGACGTACAATCTTATACGAAAAACGTATTGTAAACTTATCTCATAAAGTTTTAACAGACCTGAACACTTTTAAAGTAATGAGTATCCACTTCTACTTTCAGGTCGGCTATACCTTTTGCCACGTTTTGAAACCAACATAGCTCTTAGATCTTTTGAAAATTGTTAAACCCTAGGACTGTCTGTCTTTTGATCCTTTCTGACGTTCTTAAATATCGTATATGTTGAACCCTATGTGTTTAACGTATTAGTGCTTTTACTTGTACACAGAATTCCCTTTTCGGATAATAAAGTATTGTCATAGTCATTGATGATATAGAGATATTGTGAGAAGTCACATTCACAGGGGAGACTGTATAGGCTTAATTTCCAGTCTAGGTCTGGACAATATTCCTGGAAGAAACCACAAGAAGAGAATGGTTTTTACAACCAGTAATCTCCCGAGATTCATTAACATATAATTATATATTGAAAGGGATTCCGTGTCATTTGATTGGCTTAGAAAAAAATATTTGTCATAGTATATATCCTTCCTTAAACCGCATATGTGGACTCTTATTCTGATTGTTGTACACAGTCGTTGAAGCTCCAAACCACAATCACATTCGGCCCGCCTGCCTAACGGTCAGTCAGTATTCACTGCTGAATTGGAGGCAATTCATCATGCACTAAAACTCATACCGGAACTACCGGCAGCAAAGGCAGTCGTCCTATCACTCGCCACGTGCACCACAAGTTATATCAGCGGCCGAAACTCAACTCGAGACCAAACACAATCAATAATATTCTACCTGAATATACAAAACTATCGGGCCAAGGGCAACAGGTGGAGCTTTGTTGGATCCCGACTCGCATAGCTATTCATGGAAATGAAAAAGCAGATATACCAGTGAATGGGGGGAGGTCTCAAGGCGACGCAATTAGAATAAGTCTCGAACACTCTATTGCGGGTGGCCCAGTCGACTAAGGCGCCGCGATTCGCTGTGCAGAGTTGCGCCCCTTGGGCACACCAGAAACCTATGATTGTGGGTTCGAATCCCGGTTCGCCCCAATTATGTTTCTAGGTTTGTCAGCACCATACCCGTGCTCGTGGGTTTCACCGAAGTGGTAAACGTCTGAGACCTGCATCACTTCGGGCTTTCCTCCCACATTAAGCTGAAACGCCGCGATATAACTGGAATACTGTTAAAAGCGGCGTTAAACCAAACTCACTCACTCACTATAAGAAGTGACTAAACCGGATGTGGTGGTCAGGCTCGGTGGCTATAGGTTGATCGGGTGTCTTCTTACATATCATTGCCGATGCGATGTAAAACTATAACTCACTCACTCTTACATATCAATCAATCGTCTTGGTCTTGATTCGGTTATTTACAGGCTACCGTGACATAAATAGTGTGGACTGCGACTTATACAAACCTACACATACTCTCGCATAACAGTTGGGATTTGTTGGCACCCTTTAGAAATAGTATGCAGTCAGCCATTTCAATTTAGGACAAAATAGATGACATTAAATTATATGAATGAACTTTCGTTGAAGTTTTGATTGGCGTTAGTTTTACAGAATCGCAACTGGTGTACTCACACTTAATACACTATTGCTAGATATGGGAACGGGAATCTAGAAAGTTATGAATGGAAGTGAATGGCAGATTTCTACACAAAATTCAATTAGCCATCTCACGCCTCAGACTCGGTCACAAAAAGCGTCATGACAAGGTATGCCCATCTTGCAATCAACCTGATTCCAAATGCTCACTCGTTGCTGGAATTTCAAGGCCGGGCTCGTTTAAAACAAGAATTGCAGTTAGATCCGCTATCTGTCGTATATCTCCTGAAGCCAAGAGACACACACAGTAGCGAGGGCCAAACTAACTCTATTTCTGATAATATCATATGTATGTGTGTGCGTTTGTGGGTGGTTGGGGTGGGTGGGGGTTGGGGGAGGTCTCAAGGCGACGCAATTCGCCGTGCAGAACTGCGTACTTTGGGCACGCCAGAAACCAATGGTTGTTGGTTCGAATCCTATTCGCCCCGATAACGTTTCTAGGTTTGTTTGAGATGAACAGCTACTCGAACGTATATAAACAGGGCAACCGAAGATAAAAGAATGAAATTGTACCAATATCCGAACTTATTAATCTTATCAAAAAAACAGCAATTTTATCAATACTAAAACTCACAATGGATATGTGTACCCTACTCACACACAGACTTCAAAAGGAGGACAGGTCAGCCGAAATCGCTAGGGCAGAAGGCGACCTCTTAAACACTTAAAGCAACAACAACATTCGTCGATGTGTTCCTGCTGTTAAGGATACCTAGGCAGAATGGGTTCCCAATACCTCGTGCTTGTAGTTTGCTGCGATTGGAGAGGGTCACGTGGTCACAACGTGTTCTCTGCCTCAACGTGTGTCATCGTGACCCGACGGTGTGGATCATTGTCTCTGGACCAGACAATCCAGAGATTGATATCATGAGCATCTATCCACGCAATTGAGATACGATGACATGCATCAACCAAGTCAGCGAGCCTGACCTCCCGATCCCGTTAGTCGCCTCTCACGACAAGCATAGTCGCCTTTTAGGGCAAGCATAAGTTGCTGAAGACCTATTCTAAACCGGAACTTCACTGGTCAAACCTCGTTGGTACCCAGTTAGAGTAAGCCTCGAACACACTATTGGTTATTTACAGGCAACCGTGACATAAATAGTGTGGACTGCGACTTATACAAACCTACACATACTCTCGCATAACAGTTGGGATTTGTTGGCACCCTTTAGAAATAGTATGCAGTCAGCCATTTCAATTTAGAAAAAAATAGATGACATTATATTATATGAATTAACTTTCGTTGAAGTTTTGATTGGCGTTAGTTTTACAGAATCGCAACTGGTGTACTCACACTTTATACACAATTGCTAGATATTGGAACGGGAATCTAGAATGTTGTGAATGGAAGTGAAATAGTAGATACTGTGACAAATTTCTAAAAACATGCGAATTTTTCGTGATTTTATTTTGGGGGTTGAAGTCGTATTGGAGATGAGAAAGAGCATGGTCAGAGTATGACATCATTTTAGGTGTGGAATTAGCGTTTCCCGCGTAGACAGATCTAAAAAGAAGCAGGGAGAGATGAAACACACGAGTGGACAGTGAATTATCAACAAGACTGCATACCCAGTTTCGCTAAGCTATGCCCTTTTCTACGGAGTGATCGTATTGCAATATACCCCCGTACGCACACACACACACACTCACACACACACACACACACACACACACACACACACACACACAAAGTGTAACACCAACCTCTTTAAAAAATATACATTGTAAGTTTGAAATCGGTAATCTATTCATAAATAGTGGTGTAGTAAATAGAGCGTTTTCCCGGAGAGCGGATGGTGGGGCCATCCACGTCGCGTCACACCAAAGGAGGTTAAACTATATGTTACTTTCTGTTACCCTTCCTGGCGCTTAGTAAAAAGGGTATTCGTATAAAACAAGGTTGGTCGGCTCGGAGTCAGTATTATATGTGTCTGAGTCTGGTATCCATATTAAACTGGTATCTCAGTGGATAGCACAATAACACAGGCATATGCCATGCCGGGAATCGAACCCGGGTTTTCAGCATGACGAGCGAACGCTTTAACCACTAGGCTACCCGACCGCCCACGAGTTGCTGGAAGGAATACTCGAATTGTGATAGGATATTTTTTCGGTCGCTGCAACAAAAACCAAAAAGTAGCATCATAGGTCAAGCATTGGTTGCTGGGATCTGTTCTAACCCAGGAACCCCACGGGGTAAATCCTTGGAAAACAGCAAAGTGAGTGCGTATGGTTTTACACCACTTTTAGCAATATTCCAGCAATATCAGGGCGGGTGACACCAGAAATGGGCTTCACACACTGTACCCATGTGGGGAATCGAACCGGGTCTTCAGTGTGACAAGCGAATGCTTTAATGCCTTGGCTACCCCACAACCCTTGGAAAACAGCAAAGAACAAGATGTGACTAAAGTCATGTATGACAAGACAACGATTACAAAAGGATGAATTTATTATGACAATGTACAAACTATGAAATTATCTTGAATTATATACACATGAGTATCGAAGAAAACACATTGTAGAAATTAACACTGGTAACAATATATTTATAACGGAACCAACACTGTATAGAGCAATGATTATGAACTGATTCTAAGGCAAAATTTCCTGTCTTGCGATACTGTTTCAGAATTTTCGTTTTTCAAGTTACGTTTTCATCAGGTCTCAATCCATTTTCAGCTTACAATATTCATATCACTGACTTTTCATCAGGTCACTAATTTAATCGCAGATCAAATAACTTTCAAATCATTACAAAAATGAATATTGCTTTGAATAAGTGAAACTGAGCAGAAAAATGACATGTCAAAATAAGATTTCATAAATCATATTAAAAATGGAATGTTTTCTCAGAACAAATAATAAAAATGTTAAGGTAGAGGGGTATTCATATTGTATCCAGCACACAATTAAAAAAGGAACAATTCATAAAAAAACACAATTGGACTGGATGAGAAATACAAAGAACATATGAGATGATCTTGTGCTGCCATATATATTTACATGATCATTAACAGCTGCATTGAAAATCAAACTTTTCGTCAAATGATATCACAATCAAAATGATCAGTGTAACTGAGATTGCAACTATGTAGGTATAGATAACACAGTGAAGCTAAAGAGTCTACTTAAACTATTGCTCTTATATATTTTCAATTAATTTTCGAAGTGTAAGTAAAACAATACACTAATATGACAACGATACAGACTCAAGATTGCTGAACTGTAAAGAGTGTTCTAGAACTGAGAATGCTGAAGAGCCAGCTATAGCCCCGTAATCTGGCTCAATGATGGATGTGGTAGCAACACTTCAGAGATAAGTTTCCTGTTGTCGGTGTCTTTAACAATTAATGACAACCTCAACCGCAGCTACTCTAAAAAGACTGATCAATGTCATCAATATTTACATTATCATTTTATATACAAAAAGGCCATGGTGGACATGGGTATCAAATGATGTAATTTGTACATTTCATGACACAATTATCCTAACCAGTACAGGAAATAAATACTGATTTCTCTGCAGTCCATGGAGTTGACAGAGTCAATTCACATGTACACCTTACACCCTGACAGGTAAAGACACCGAGATTTCAATTTATCCCCTGACAACTTTCCTTACTTGAAGTCGGTCAATATCATTAGAATCTGATCTTTTACTATGATAGAATACATCTCTGCATGAAGATCTGACATAACTTGCATAGGAGGTCACCTTTGATGGACATTCCAATCAGCCAATCACCATCTAGGCTTCTAATTTATCTAGCCAGCTAAGCATTCAGAGCATGATTTCTGTATTTTGAATATAAACATAAACAAGAAGTTCTGAATGGAAACAATAAAAGCTGTGCTGATATATTAGTGTGAATATTTAATACACTCAGTCATTCCCATGTGTCATGGGATCTTGGCTCAAAATGGAGTACCTTCCAAAAAATATTTGTGTCATATTGGTTTGCTTTTGTTAAAATCAAAATTGCTGAATAGTGGAAAAGACATGAAGTCAAATCATTTTAGATCAGCCCAAAGTTTTCTCAGGGTTCAACTGACACAACTTCCTATGGAGGGTTTGTCCTATCTTCATGCAGATAGGTATCATGTCAGAAATAAAGATCTAAGTATTAATGACATCGGAAGTCAATTTGATACATAGAAAATCTACTGCAACAACTATAAACTTCAGTTTCATAGAAAATTCAAATTGTCATTATGATAAATATACAAAAATGTCATGCAAAATCTTTTTGTCTTACTTAAATAATTCTCACACTTGTCTCTCAATTTCTTATAGGACTCTCAACTGCCTTAACTACTTGGACTGTTCAGTATAACTGAACACTTCTTTTCTGGTCCCTTACAGTCTTGCAGTAGTAATAGTTACACAATAACAAATGAGAAAGAAAACGTCAGCAGAGCAATTATATCTACTCATTCTGTATGAACAAACTACTTTTAAGTAAAACAGATTTTGAAATAACAGCACTAGCAAATTTATGCCTATTTGTTTGTTCATTACTTCAACAATTATCATATTACACTGAATACTTAAAAACAAAATCTGCAGGTTTCATCTACATAATTTTAACATTTCATTATGTATCATACTGTAAGGCAAGGACCACATTTTAGTGTGGACTAGCCATGCAGAGCAGGAGACAACCGTATAAATTCATAAAGTATTAATGTCTTCCACAGAAGGCAAAGGTGAATGAATGTTCATAAATCTCATCACATCAGATAAAGTACATACCAAAATTGAAGCATTTTGTAGAACAAAAAAATATGAAAGAGAACACACCCAAAAAGAATTCCGGTTTTCAGGATGGGCTAAAGTTCTACCAAAGAACAGGAATGTCTTATCTTACAATACATGCATGCTTTAACTTGTCTGGCTCAAAATATCAATTAATCTAAGGCAAAAACAAGTCTGCTTGCACAAAGCATATCTGTAATCAATAATATGTGTAAAAGGGGAGACGACACAGGTGCGAGGTAGGTGGGCAGGTAAGGCATCTTAGCAAGCTCAGCACCGAGACACATTCGTCATGCTACTAAGTTTTGAGTTTGTCGATCCTCCGTAACCACGTTTATCGTACCTGAAATGATGCAAGAATTGAGGTCGTCATTCAAAAAACAGAATATTAAGTATAAATCAAGAAACAAAGCACATCTGTTTCAGATTAGTTTCCTTTATAAATCCTAACAAATGTTAAACTGGCATTCAGAGCTGCCCTCACAAGAGAATTAGGAAAGACATGTGCTTTCTATCAATGTTGAAAACATTAGATCCACCTGAAAAAAAATGACTTCCTTAAAATATTCATATTGATATCACTTATGCTTTCATCTATGTTGTACACATTTGTAAGTTACCATACAAAACAAAGACTAGTAACAGAGGAAATGGTGACATGGTGTAAGTTATTTGAGGATAGAATTCTTATGATAATCATTTCTTTTTTAAGTAAATCATTTGTAATTTGAATTCTCTCTTGAAAATATATCACAAAAATTTATCAAAGTAATAATCAGATTTTAGTTTAGTTTAGTTCAGCAGGATGAGACACTCATACATCATAATTACCACAATAATGTCATCTTCAATGCTTGAATGTTATTATCTAACATCAAATGAAATTTCAGATATATGATGACAGGTTCCTCATAACACATTCATCCTTCTAAAACACGCCCCATGATGGAAGAACCAAGGGAGACAATCCTGCCCCAGCTAGCACTGTGTTAAAGCATCAGTTGAAGTCAATCTTACCTGTCTGCCTCTCTGGTTCTAGCTGGTCTATATTTCGTCTCATAACTAAAGAAAGAAAGCCACAGGACCTTCTTAAGCAAGTAACAACAGAGGGGAAAATGCTTGGAGGGAAAGCACTAATCAGACAGACCTGTGAACTGCAATATTTGTTTCTACAATGTCTCATGTAAGTCACAGATACAAAGGTACATGAACATATCATTCTTGAAGATCTAAAGATCTGCATATTGATATGAATACATGTTACCACACCAATGATTTCTTTGGACAGGATGATATGTACCAGCTACATGAAGCCAATAGTAATTATTTTTTTATCTGTAGTATTGAATCCTGATATTTGAAAGGATCCCACTATGAGAATTAGAATGATTTAATCGATAGCAACACCTTGAGATAAGAAGTAGAATAAAAATTATTAAGTAGACAATGTATTATGAACTATGTTCTGCAATAAACTCAGTTCACAGATGAGTCGACTTGCATGTGGGGTTAGGAAGCACAAACATTGGGCAGCTCTGAATTCACTGTAATAATTCATTATCTTTATTCATTATCATTGCAGAAAACAATCTAAGAGGAACTACACACAGATGGATGGAATGAACAATGAAGAAACAAAGTACGTAATTAAATGATATATTTAAATCCAATTTATCCACAGGACTATATATATGACCCATTGAAGCCTACAAATGAAAAAGGGAATACTAAAGATTCCTCAAACTTATGGTATTAGAGGAATATACTTTTTCAGTCATAAGAAATAAATTAGACATGCAAAGTAGAGAATAAAAATGAAATGAAATAGTTGACAAATATCACTTCTGATGTGAACAAACTTCACAATTATCAAGGCAGATAGATAACAATATCAATACTTTTTAGTCCTTGTTTTTCTGGCCAGGACAATACAGACGGCAATGATGATGATGATCAAGAGAGCCCCTGCTGCAACCAGGGCCCAGGTTGAGATCTCATATGATGATGTCTGTACTGCTTCTGGAGATACTGTTGTCCCAAAGGCAACTGTAAAACAATGAGTTATCATCATTTACCATGTTACCTTGACAAATGTCAATCTGAAGGAACCTTGCTTACCAAGACAAATGTCAGCCTGAAGGAACCTTGCTTACCATGACAAATGTTAATATGAACGAACCTTGCTTACCATGACAAATGTCAATCTGAAGGAACCTTGCTTACCATGACAAATGTCAATCTGAAGGAACCTTGCTTACCAAGACAAATGTCAATCTGAAGGAACCTTGCTTACCATGACAAATGTCAATCTGAACGAACCTTGCTTACCATGACAAATGTCAATATGAACGAACCTTGCTTACCATGACAAATGTCAATATGAAGGAACCTTGCTCACCATGACAAATGTCAATCTGAAGGAACCTTGCTTACCATGACAAATGTCAATCTGAAGGAACCTTGCTTACCAAGACAAATGTCAATCTGAAGGAACCTTGCTTACCAAGACAAATGTCAATCTGAAGGAACCTTGCTTACCATGAAAAATGTTAATATGAAGGAACCTTGCTTACCAAGACAAATGTCAATCTGAAGGAACCTTGCTTACCATGACAAATGTTAATATGAACAAACCTTGCTTACCATGACAAATTGCAATCTGAAGGAACCTTGCTTACCAAGACAAATGTCAGCCTGAACGAACCTTGCTTACCATGACAAATGTCAATATGAACGAACCTTGCTTACCATGACAAATTGCAATCTGAAGGAACCTTGCTTACCAAGACAAATGTCAATCTGAAGGAACCTTGCTTACCATGACAAATGTTAATATGAACGAACCTTGCTTACCATGACAAATGTCAATCTAAAGGAACCTTGCTTACCAAGACAAATGTCAGCCTGAATGAACCTTGCTTACCATGACAAATGTCAATATGAACGAACCTTGCTTACCATGACAAATTGCAATCTGAAGGAACCTTGCTTACCAAGACAAATGTCAGCCTGAACGAACCTTGCTTACCAAGACAAATGGCTTTAAAAAGGAACCTTGCTTACCATGACAAATGTCAATCTGAAGGAACCTTGCTTACCAAGACAAATGTCAATCTGAACGAACCTTGCTTACCATGACAAATGTCAATCTGAACGAACCTTGCTCACCATGACAAATGTCAATCTGAACGAACCTTGCTCACCATGACAAATGTCAATCTGAAGGAACCTTGCTTACCATGACAAATCTCAATCTGAAGGAACCTTGCTTACCAAGACAAATGTCAATATGAACGAACCTTGCTTACCATGACAAATGTCAATCTGAAGGAACATTGCTTACCATGACAAATGTTAATATGAACGAACCTTGCTCACCATGACAAATGTCAATCTGAAGGAACCTTGCTTACCAAGACAAATGTCAATCTGAACGAACCTTGCTTACCATGACAAATGTCAATCTGAACGAACCTTGCTTACCAAGACAAATGTCAATCTGAAGGAACATTGCTTACCATGACAAATGTCAATCTGAAGGAACCTTGCTCACCATGACAAATGTCAATCTGAAGGAACCTTGCTTACCAAGACAAATGTCAATCTGAAGCAACCTTGCTCACCATGACAAATGTCAATCTGAAGGAACCTTGCTTACCTTGACAAATGTCAATCTGAAGGAACCTTGCTCACCAAGACAAATGGCAATCTGAACGAACCTTGCTTACCATGACAAATGGCAATCTGAAGGAACTTTATTTCATTGGGGCATTTTATTTCATATAAGTACTTTTACAGATTCATTGACTCTAAAAAGCTGGAATACAATGCAGTTAAAAGCATTTATATTACTGCCAAACCTGATAATCATACATCTTGAAACAATATCATCTATTGTTCACTGCCTAACCCTGATCATTTCATGTACCAATCAGGGGTGCAAATTGGCACTTGGTCATTGGACAAATCAGTTTGTCTCATGTTAAAGGTATCCTATGGGCTAGTAAAATTTCAAACTTTTTTGGCGGTGTGTCCATACATGTTATCACTATTCAGGCTTGTAATAAGACTTTCAGGTTAACTGGCATCCATTGACCAACATACAAACGTTGTCCATTATACTCACATAAATCTCTCCCTGAGACTTTAGGGAAGTATTCTGTCCAGAAGGCATACTGTTTCTGTCTGAAGTTGGTCAGGTTCTCAGACTTGTTGGTAATACTCAAGTAACTATGGTTTTTGGGGTTGTAACTTAACCATGTGGCATTGCGGAAGTCTTTGATGGGACGGTCACGTGGGGTTGGATCACTGGAAAACAACACAACTGATTAACATTCAGGACAACTTAAACATGGTAAACACTGTTATCAATGGCTGGCTGTGAAGCTAATCTGAAGTCTGAAAATTATGAATGTTGTCAAGGCTGACGATGATTGACTATGACTGGTGTGATATCCGGAAATATTTGTTGTTTAATGTCACACTAAGCAATATTCTAGCTATAATTTGGCAGTCTACATCATCAAGTCTGAGCCAAGCAATCAAGTGATTGACATCATTGATCTAGTTTGATACGATGACATGCATCAACCAAGTGGGTGAGTCTGACCACCTGATTGTGTTACATGCTTCTGGCGACAAATATGGGCTGTTGAGGGCCAATGCTAACACAGGTCTTCATGGGGTTCTAAAATCATTGGCTATGGCTGTTATGTGGTGACTTACTATGAATGACTGTCAGAGTCATTTGATACCTGTAGATGACTGTCATGTGACAGTTGTGATAAAATGAAGATAACTGTAGATGATTGGCTGATTGTGGTGCGATGTACACTCACCCTCTGGTTGTGAAGTTAGTGAACATGTTGATCATGTATTCGCTGATGTTGCGGTCATTCAAGTCATATTCCTGCCGAGGTCTCAGACCGGTCATATTTATGTAGGTCTCGTTGAAATATGGCAGCCCAAATACATACTGCAAGTCTTGTCCATGTGCCACACCTGAAGCACCAAAATGGTGAGTGAGTGAGTTGGGTTTTACTTTGTGTGCCATATCAACTTTATTACTGTAGTCTGCAAGAAATCCAGCACAGGACAGACATTTGGGCTCCAGAATATAAAATCAGCTAGGTTTTTTGGTTTGGTTTGTTGTTTAACGCTGCACTCAGCAATATTTCAGCTATATGACAGCGGTCTGTAAAATAATCGAGTCTGGACCAGACAATCCAGTGATTGACATCATGAGCATCGATCCACGCAATTGGGATCGATGACATGTATCAACCAAGTCAGCGAGCCTGACCACCCGATCCCATTAGTCGCCTTTACGCAAATATGGGTTGCTGAAGACCTATTCTAACACGGAATCTTCACGGGTCAAAATCAGCTAGGTCTTATGATCTGTCATCTTGGTCCTTAACTCAAATATTATATGTCAATGTGACCATTAAATCTTCAATTGTAGCTGCTGGTTATGACAAACATTGGGTGCTAAGTACCCTATTTATGCTCTGAATCCCAAACCACCAGACAACAGGCACCAACACAAATTGAGATTCAGCACACCACAATAAATTATTAGATTTTAATAAAGTTATTTACAAAATATGAGTTGGGAGGTATCTTTTCTTACATACATATATTTTGGACGTTATTTTTGATTAATTAAACTGCACAAGGCAAATATGTATGTGAACTGTCAACTATCTATTGACAAATCTATTCCAAACACAGACGTGTAACAGTTTTTGGAAATGCAGTTAACATGGCTAAGTCCTGATTATCAGGTGGAGCAGAATGGTCAATGTTTTATTGCTTGTTGATTGCTATCATACCTGACATTATTTGAATAATTTCATTAAACATAAAGTACACATGTAGCGATTTTCTTGGTCCATAGGTACAGTTAACTACAGGCATAACGAAGTGAGTGAGTGAGTGAGTGAGTGAGTGAGTGAGTTGGGTTATATGCCGCTTTTACCAGTATTCTAGTTATATCACAGCATGTCAGCTTAACGTGTGAGGAAAGCCCGAAGGGATGCAGATCTCAGACAGGTATGGTGCTGACAAACCTAGAAACATCAGGGCAAACTGGGATTCATGAATCGCGGAGCCTTAGATGACTGGGCCACCTATGCCCCCCATAACAAACTAAGCATGCTAAGAGGGACCACTAATATAAGTTATAAGCATATATACCCCATATATACAGCAAATGGCTGAGACAAAAGAAACAGTTTGTCATATTGTCAGTTTGTTGTAAGCATGTTCGTCATAAACGAAGTTTACTTACTTTGGGACAAAAAGAATTATAGGAGGCAGGGTGTTGGGGGGTGAGCCTGGCATGGATGAAAAGCTAGTAATATTTAATTGTGGCCTAAATCAATTGGATATAATTGACTCCTTGAACCTTTACTAAGTCTTCTAATCTTATCTCACAAGTTTTGAACAAGTTAGTTACTGAAAGATGAATCTAACCAAGAAGAGCACAAACGACCTCACCTCTCCATGGTGGAAGGAAGTCGTTCCAGGACTTATACTTGAACACATAGAAATAGGTTGTGTTGTAGATAACCTGGGATCGCATCATCTCATTGACACCTGTCCCGAACATGTAGTCCGACATCAGCTGAAAACCATCACACAGTTACCATGATCAATTACAAGACTGATGGAAATATTTTAACAAATACATTTCAGATCAGCATTATCGGAAATACTCTACATTTATACTACTCAAGTTTGCTTAGGACCACTGCCTTAAAAGGTAATATGTCAAATAGTGTGCATCTGTTCAAATAGCCAAAGACAATATTGTGTGAAGACATGTTTAATGAACAAAAGTCCATTGTCATGTGCCCCACAATGTACAATAATAGTATCTGACCAAAACTGAAACATCAGAAAATCATGTAAACAAATTCATTGTCCCCCCAAACACAGTAAGACATTGCGAGTTCCTTTAGAGTTGCCAGAAGGACAGGGCACCGTAAGATGGCGATCTGCAGCTGGTTCCACATGTGTTCAATAGGGATGCAGTCTGGTGACCGGGCTGGCCACTCCATACGGACAAAAGTCTCCCATTCTAAGAAGGCATCAACCACTCTGTCACGATGAGGTTGTGCGATGTACATGAGGATAAGTCCGGGCAGATTGCACCTCCATATGGTCTCACGAATAGATCCAGAATGTCATCCCTATAGCGCAGACTTGTCATCATGCTCCGCTGTAGAACATGGAGATTCATTCTCCCAGCTCTACTGATCCCACCCCAAATCATGACTGAGCCCCCACCATAGCAGTCATGTTCAGCTACGTTTGTACACCACACTTGGGCATGACAATCTGTGAGGTCAAGACAGTATCTTGAGAAAAGTGCTGGTCTGTCCAAGTGATGTGATTTTCAGCCCAATCCAAACATGCCTGTCTGAGATATCAGGTGATACCAGCCTCTGTCCGTTCAGCATGAAATTGAGGTTCTATAGGGATTACCCAATCTTTATGTACCTGGATATTTCCATTGTTATTTTGTTTAGATGAGTTTTTGATATTATGAAACTTTGAGTAGTATATATTAACAAGATTCTGTCAGATAGTTTTTCAATGAATTTTGAAGACAAACATTCCCAGGTACTTTCTTGGATCACTGACTTATCCCATGAGTAAACTGAATCAAACCACCCCATAACCTGGCCCTAATTTTCTAAGGAACTGTCCATTGAAATAAAAACATGCAAAATAATTTGTTCAACTATACAAAACTTGAAGCAGTCTGATCAATCATATAAATAATACATATCTTTGGCTTGATATTATGTACCTTAAATACACAGAAGTGTTCTATTGATATCGGTAATTACAAGTGATGGGGTGCAACCGGCGGTACAGAATACCCTCATCTTTTCATTGACACCTGGACCCACTTGCACAAAGCGATCTTAGCGCTAAGATGATCTTAACTCCCATACTTTAACATAGGCTTACAATAGTCTTAGTGCTAAGATCGCTTTGTGCAAATGGGCCCTGGTATCATCAGTATTTGATAGTGATTTGCAAACATTTGCTTTTGATATATTCAGAATCATACAATGGACTACGCTTTTAGCAGAAGATGCTTATGATTATGGTTAAATATTGTAGCTTATATTTATTATAATGTTCACAAGACAGAAATAAGTTCAAGAGAGGAGACTTACATCTGTCAACATCTGCCTGACTTGGCTGTAGTTCTTTGGCTCAGGCCAGTACGTGTATTCATATGAAAGAGCATCAATGGCATTGGACATGTCCACGATACCTCGGTCACGAAGAAATTCCTTTAAGATATTGTCGAACTGGTCTGGAGTCACACCATCCAGGAGATTTTGTAGGTTGGCTGCATTTGGTAACAGAAGAAAAGATGTATCAAAACAAACATAAAACTCTTCAATATCAACCCCCTCTTTATTAAATGATGTCTATAAAAATCACAATCACAAGCATATGTATGTAATAATGTATATGTCTGATTATACCAGTCAACACTGGTTAGTCCTAAAGCTTGTAAGTAGGTACAAGTGATCGATATTGATGGATCCAGAATCAAGTGTCAACAGTAACGCTCCTCACTGCTTTTCATCATGTTGTATGTTCTCCATATCTTCAAATCAAGTGACCCAGAAATGGTACTTTTCAATAGACAGAACTTTTCATTCAAAAGAGATTGATAATATTATTACAAAGCATCATAGAGACTCTAGATTATGATTTTTCCACAATAAAAAAGAATTTTTGTTTAAACCTCCAGAATTGACATTTGATGTATGACATCTGATGTGAATAAAAGTTTCACCAGGAGATGTTAAATGATTTATGAATCAATACTCTGGAAATGCACCCTAACCTCATTTGAATGTCATTTGAACTTTTTGCCTTGGAAACATCTTCCTGAGACAAGGGAGTTAACTGACCATCAAAGTCCAGTTTCCACCCTTGCTGAACTAGGCTGGAATTAATGAGTTATATTTTGGCTGGACTAATGAGTCTATGCATAGTCCAATCAAACTTGCATAACGAAATCAACATCATGTTCGTAAACTGCCGTGCAGATTTTGGTTGATTGCAAGATTTGCAAAGCATGTTTGCCGTCAACTCGGCGTCAAGATATATTTCCCAAATCTTTTCATGTTTCCAATGAAGGTACTCACCTGATTTGATGCACTTCACTAGTAAGACCCATTTTATCACCATATAGATTTTAAAATATCGATCAGATCGTCTTGTCTCGGAGCTGCCAATTTGTTGGAATCAAATGCAAGTATTATGAGAGGTGGAATCTGATTGGTCTATAGGAGGGACATAGATTGGACATAACTTTTAATCGCTATTGGTGGCATTACGATCGAGCCCAGAAATTCTAGCCTTGTTCGGCAAGGGTGGAAACTGGACTTTTATAGTCAGTTAACTCCCTTGCCTCAGGAAGATGCCCTGGAAACTAAAAAAAATAAATACTTCAAATTTCCTGAACATCAAAAGGCACCAGCTACGTTAGCACATGCCTGATGTTTGTGAACAAACCCTATCCACAGTGAACCTATGTCCAAGTTGTTGCCTCGGAAACACAAAAAATATAATTGAAAGAAAAACACAGTATCAAACGGCACTGGTTAAGTGATGTGTGCATGACGTTTCAGCAAGACATATTGAACAGGTTACAAGTTATGATCCAGAAATGAAACATGAAGTATGGATGAATGGAGTCCATTTCTATATCCCCTACCAATAAATGTTTGAATGGGGATAACAAAGAAAATGCATTATAGTACTTACGGATAAAAAATGAGCCTTCATCCAGGACAAGGCCTGCCAAAACCTGCATCTTCTTGAAACGTCCCTGGCGGCGTATGATGTTTGGGGGGTCAGGCAGGAAGGAGTAATCCACCCCGAGCACCTGCCCGTCCACCACGGGACCCCACGGGTTCCCCACCTTGCCAGGCTGAAACACAGGTCACAATCCCATTCAAATCAGACCTACCGCTAAACAAAGATCTGAGGACCTCCCATTACGGGTCATGTCAGACTGACCTGAACAAAAACAAGCAAAGGCACATTCTGGAATGGCTAACAGATGGTCTAGATTGTATGAATACAGTCATAAAGCCCATAAGTATCGTTCTGGATACCCGGTGTTACATTTTTCGAGGTTGCATGATCAGAATTAACATTCCAACTGTCATTTTCATGATCTGATAAGCGACGCTCTGATTGGTCAGATGAAAGGTCATTCTGACATGACCTGCAATGGGATGTCCTCAGATCTTTGTTTAGCGGTAGCGAGAACTAAGATTTGATTTTACCATTGCACAAGTCATGGTCAGACAGCTGGAATGTGTAGCTACTAATATCTGATTACAACAGCAACATCTGTCGAAGCTGATACTGATAAAATGTAGTCATCTTCACCGAACATGTACAATGTCACCTAATGTTCACAGACCCTAGTGAAGTTTATTCATAAGTTATAAGACACAAACGTTTACCCTTATGTAACACATTCACAAGTTATTGTGGACACAAGTCAACATTACATACAGTCACCTCGGCCTTGGTAATGTCAGACAATAAATAACACCACAACAGAAAGTGTTATGTCTGTCTCATAAATATCAAAACTCCCTGAATTATTTTGCTGACAAACTCTTTATAAGTGACTAAATGTTAGTACAAAAAAGTGCTTGTGCTAGGAGAAGGTACCAATGTTTGTCTGTGTGTTGTTTAACACCACAGTCAGCAATATTCCAGCTATGCGCTGCAGCCTGTATCTAATAGAGTCTGGAGCAGACAATCCAGTGATTGACATCATAAGCATCAACCTACACAACAGGGATACAGTAGCATACATCAACCAAATCATTAAGTTTGACCATCCGATCCAGTTAGTCACCCAAAAGTGGGTTGCTGAAGACCAATTCTAATTCTTGTGATTAGTGATGGGACTGCCAATATGGCCAAGGCTAAAATGTTCAGAATAATTTACTGTTTATAAAATCACATCCATCATAATTTATACTTATAGCTGGAGAATCATAATTATGGTTCAATCCTAACCTTCATCATGACCCGAGCAGAGGCGTTGACGATTTCATTGTAGCTACGATACATCCGCAGACATTCCATGAGACGCTGGTTGTCATTAGTGGGGCAGCCAACCTCATAGCCGAGGGCCTTGGCATAGTTCTTGGCATCGTCAGAGGGCATGATGGCCCACTCACTCAGGTCCGACCCACTCATCATGATGGCACGGTGGAACAAGTCTGCAACACACATTCACCATGAGAATGCGCTCTTACCACCTTACTTCGCATTTACCTAAAGGTCATACAGTTACCATCTGAAGACATGCTAACAATCAGAATAACGTATTTACCACCAGAACACACATTTCCTGTAGGAACACACTTTTACCACCAGAACAGACATTTCCTGTAGGAACACACTATTACCACCAGAACACACATTTCCTGTAGGAACACACTATTACCATTAGAACACACATTTCCTGTAGGAACACACTATTACCATCAGAACACACATTTCCTGTAGGAACATACTACCAGAACACACATTTCCTGTCAGAACACACTTTTACCATCAGAACACACTTTTACCATCAGAACAAACATCTCCTGTCAGAACACACTTTTACCATCAGAACACACATTTCCTGTCGGAACACACTTTTACCACCAGAACACACATTTCCTATAGGAACACACTTTTACCACCAGAACACACATTTCCTGTTGGAACACACTATTACCATCAGAACACACATTTCCTGTAGGAACACACTATTACCACCAGAACACACATTTCCTGTAGGAACACACTATTACCATCAGAACACACATTTCCTGTAGGAACACACTTTTACCATCAGAACACACATTTCCTGTCGGAACACACTTTTACCATTAGAACACACATTTCCTGTCGGAACACAGTTTTACCATCAGAACACACATTTCCTGTCAGAAAACACTTTTACCATCAGAACACACATTTTCTGTCGGAACACAAGATCTCAGGCAAAATATTTTGAAAAATAGCTCACCTGACCCTAACCAAGCTAACCTAAGTGTTTTGTATACTCACAACGACAAATCAATAGACACAACAGCCTTTACAAACATAAAGGTTAAAAAAATGACAAAACTACAACAAAAAATTCTACAGAACAGGCATGTTGAAATGAATTTGACACTCACTATATATCAAATGACAAATTGACATATCAGTGGATGAGTGTGCTCAAAATACATTCCATGTCACTGGCATCACTATATATCAAATGACAAATTGACATATCAGTGGATGAGTGTGCTCAAAATACATTCCATGTTACTGGCAATGCTAAGGGACACAACTCTGTACATACACATGAATAAATAGTTAACGCAGCACCAAATGACAGCAACTTACTCCCACTCCTGGGGGACAGCAGATGGAGCCCCACACTGACGGCCCCCACGCTCTGCCCCATGATGGTCACCAAGTTGGGGTTGCCACGGAATGCGGTGATTGTCCGCTTCACGAACTCTAGCGCTCGAATCTGATCCCACATCCCATAGTTTCCAGGGGCATGCTGATCTCCAGTGCTGAGAAACCCTGTAAATGTTTCATGCTGATTAGAAATGTTGACACACTGACACAAAAGAGAGCCAAACACCTCTGTAGGTCACCTTACTTTTCTGGAATCCTGGCAACATGAATGTCTGGGAATCCCAATATTGCAGTCGAGGGAATTCCCTTTCTGCTCACATGTATCGTCATGCACAGGGCATTTATCGAAATTCATGCATATTCATTGTCCATTTAAGATCAAAGGTTGAGAAGGAATGAAACAGCAAATGTGCAGGCTTCTGTAAGAATCAGCTATGCGGATTCATGTAGTTGAATTTGACCACTACGACTGATCTGTCTGCCAGGAACTACCACGATACCGCTGTACTAACCTAGAGCATTCAGCCTGTAGTTGAATGTGACCACTACGACTGATCTCTGCCAGGAACTACCAGGATACCGCTGTACTAACCTAGAGCATTCAGCCTGTAGTTGAATGTGACCACTATGGCTTATCTGTCTGCCAGGAACTACCAAGATACCGCTGTACTAACCTAGAGCATTCAGCCTGTAGTTGAATGTGACCACGACGACTGATCTGTCTGCCAGGAACTACCAGGATACCGCTGTACTAACCTTGAGCATTCAGCCTGTAGTTGAATGTGACCACGACGACTCATCTGTCTGCCAGGAACTACCACGATACCGCTGTACTAACCTAGAGCATTCAGCCTGTAGTTGAATGTGACCACGACGACTCATCTGTCTGCCAGGAACTACCACGATACCGCTGTACTAACCTAGAGCATTCAGCCTGTAGTTGAATGTGACCACGACGACTCATCTGTCTGCCAGGAACTACCACGATACCGCTGTACTAACCTAGAGCATTCAGCCTGTAGTTGAATGTGACCACGACGACTGATCTGTCTGCTAGGAACATGCCAGGGTACTGCTGTCCAGACCCCATGGTCCAGCCTCCTCCATGGATAAACACCAACACTGGGTACAAGTTAGTTCCTCCAAAATCATCAATTTTCTGAAGAAAAATAATAAAAATTCATGTTTGTAAATAAACAGCTTCAGTTTGTACTTTATTGACACTGACAGATATATTATTAATACAAATTACTTACAGAGTTCCAGCAATATACCAGACTACTGTAGAATGTTCAGGTTGGTTGGTTTTTGGTTTGTTGTTTAAGGTCGCACTAAGCAATATTCCAGCTATATGACGGCGGTCTGTAAATAATCAGGTCTGGACCAGACAATCCAGTGGTTGATATCATGAGCATCGATCCACGCAATTGGGATCGATGACATGCATCAACCAAGTCAGCGAGCCTGACCCCCCGAACCCGTTAGTCGCCTTTTATGACAAGCATAGTCACCTTTTATGGCAAGCATGGGTTGCTGAAGACCTATTCTACCCCGGAATCTTCACGGGTCGCATGTTCAGGAAATCAGGTATTATTTATTAAAGTCACTTCTCTACCACCTCACTACTGAACACTACTCACATTATTATATTGTCCATAAGCATGATAAGGACATACAGAATACAATCACCACATGTAGTTCCTTCTTGCTTTACTCCAAGTGAGTGAGTGAGTGAGTGAGTGAGTTGGGTTTAACGCCGCTTTTAACAGTATTCCAGTTATATCACGGCGTGTCAGCTTAACGTGGGAGGAAAGCCCGAAGTGATGCAGGTCTCAGACGTTTACCACTTCGGTGAAACCCACGAGCATGGGTATGGTGCTGACAAACCTAGAAACATAATCGGGGCGAACCGGGATTCGAACCCACAATCATAGGTTTCTGGCCTGCCCAAGGGACGCAACTCTGCACAGCGAATCGCGGCGCCTTAGACGACTGGGCCACCCGTGCCCCCCTTTACTCAAAGACTTATACAGATGTATATATGTCTTTGCTGTACTTGATTAAATACACTTTACATATAGTCCTACCAAACATTCATGTTTCATATGTATCACATCTGTGGGTAGTTAATACACTGAGATGCCCAGTTTGTTTATTAACAAATGCCTCCAGGATCACATTCTTTTTGAATGTTGATGAAAATCAAATAATCAATCTATAAATATGGCTACAACTTGACATATTTAAGACCAAATAGTTCTCTAGTCTGAAAGAAATGTTTTCATGCGTATTAGCACAGCATTGCCTATATCAGTACTTAACGTGTCACAAACTGCCGTATCAGCATAAAGCTGAGGTGAGTTGAAATGGGGGTTCAATGTCGCGTCCAAGATTATTGCACATATACAGCAAATGTGTGTGTGGCTGCTTATACTAAAGTACTCACGGAAATAAAAAAAAACACTTTTTTTTCAATCTCAGATTTTAAATAAATGCAGTTAATATACAAAATATATAAATATTCAAACAACTCAATTAATACTAATTTGGCCTTGGCACAAATACAGCGTATCAAAGGTTTTTATGTCTTTTTACACGTAAAGGTGTGTAAAAATATGAACAAAACAGACTATTGTGAAACTGAGCATAACCAGGTGTTAGTAGATCAAGGTAAATGTCCATGACTTATGACACCTTGACGACAGGTGAAAACAGGTGCTTGAAACCCATGTGCATGTTATTTGTCAGTGGTTAGTGATTTGTGAGTGGCATTGTGGGATAGTGAATCATCGTCAAAATATCAGTACGTAAAAGTAACATATTCCCTTCTCAAACAACAACTAACATGTCATTATTATTATGTACATAAACATAGCTGTTACTTTTATTGTTGTTCTGATAACTTTTTTCCAGGCTAGTTTGCATAATACCTATAGCCTGTTTCTGCCATGTCAATTTGGACTTAGTTTTATTTTTGAATGTTGAAGGTGCCTACAAATTACCTTCTGTAAAGTACATTTTGTATTGAGCACTGAGATAAAACTAGCAAATCCAGTCTAGTACTTTTCCAGTTGTTTTGTTATTTCGTATTTACATCTACGTAATGCTTTGTGTTGATTATTAAATCCAGCAAAACAGTTTTTTTTCATTTCCATGAGTACTTTAGTCCCGACTGATGCTGATTTATAGCGCTGAGATACTATGCCGCAGTTTAACATGAATACCCCACTCAGACACAGTATACTGACTCCGAGCCGACCAGTCCTTGTTTATGGCCCTTAATGCCGAGTGCCAGACAGGGTATCAACCATGTCAACAAGTACCATCTTCTAACGTCTTTTGGTATCATGCGGCCCGGGGATCGACATGAAGGAAAACTCAACGTACTTGTTATGGTCACAACAAAGGTTGCTTAATATCTACAGGTATTAGGATTCATTATCAGGTACTCATGTTAATATAAAACAGCAATTCATTCCAGGACTAGTGTTGCCACCTCTACGTTCTCGCTGCCCAGAAGAAACACTTCAATAACAGAAGAAACACTTCAATAACAGAAGAAACACTTCAATAACAGAAGAAACAATGGTAAATGTAAATCATTTTATCATCTAACTAATTGTCTCTTACATCAGGTGTGTAGATATTGAGGTACAGACAGTCCTCACTGGTCTCGCTGTACTGGGGGAGGGTCTCCCTGATGAGCCACAACTGCTGGGGACAGGCCGGCCGGTGGTAGGTGGCGTCCCAGATCCCATACCACGAGGGGGGCTCGGCATTCTAAACAGAAAAACATACACTTGCCAGTTCCTCTGAATCATTATGGTCAAACTGCAACATAGCACAAGACTGTCACTGAAAGAACATGTCATATGCTTAAAGTTTAATACCACACATGCCAAAGTATAAGCTGGAATCATATTCTTTGAATTGTAGCATGCGACTGTCTACACATGGTCTATGTTAACATGATAAACACACTCACTAAAATTCACTCTGCATTGACCACGTTTTTCTGGTATGAGCAAATGTGGTTCTCACAGCAGTGACCATGGTCAGCCTTTAAACTGGTAAACAATCACATATAGGCCAGGTTAAGTGGGGTTTCAGCAACGACCCATGCTCCCAGTATACAATATATCACACCCAAACAGGTAAGTCTTACACTGATAAAAACAAGTTAAAGAAACCCACTAATGGAATGCAATACCCACCAGGCATGACAGATAAATGGGTTATAGCTAAAACAGCACCTCAGCAAAATGGCACCAAGCGAAAAAGGCACCTCGCCTAAAGCAAAAACGGCTACTATTGCCCGGTGAAAACGGCACCTTATTATTTTTTTACCTTGGTACTGAAATACATGAAATTAAACTCACATGGTCACTTGCAAACACAAATAATTGTGAAATGTTAAAATGAGTTTACATTAGAAATTAGCCTCCACTCCAATTTACTTGCTGACTCTTTGGCAGGTGCAGCTAAACTTACTGTGAAAACATTACATGCTTGAAGTAAAATAAATGAAATTAAACTCACATGGTCACTTGCCATGCTTGCAAACACAAATAATTGTGAAATGTTAAAACAAGTTTACATTAGAAATTAGCCTCCACTCCAATTTATTTGCCGATTCTTACTGGGAGGCGCAACGAAACTTATTTTGAACACATCATGTGCTTTGAAGTTTTAATTACCTTTACTCAAATTAACTCAATGTCAAGCTGAAACTGAGTCTGGCAGAAAAGTCAATAAATTGGACTTCAGGACTTTAATATATATTTTAGTAAGTAGGAAATAGATAGTAATTTTATAGATATTTCGTATATATCATTTTTGTCGGCAGCCGACATCACAAAAATGTTTCTGTGGATAACAGACTGTGTCCCTGTTCAAGGAAAACATATTCTACAACATAAATCGTTATTATCATGATTATCGTTATTAAATATAGAGGTGCCTATTTCGCCCGAAAATTAGTAGCCGTATTAAGTCAATGGGATGCTGTTTTCGCCTGAAAATCAGTGCTATATTGCTGAGGTGCCGTTTAAACCTGCACTCCAGATTAACTTTTAAGTAGCTAATTCAAAGAAGTTAAAGAAAACCTGATTCTTTCATATTACAATACTTTTCTCTCTCTCTCTCTCACACACATATATGTGTTCTTGTCGTAGCCAATGAAATCTGGTGTCATACATTTTGTCCACAGGCATGGTTTGCACCGTTCTAACATGACTAAAGCGGTGTCATTTTAACCTGATCCCACAAAAACGAACTGTTTATCCATTGATCTTAAATGCAAGTCCATCCCATCCTTCCAAAAGGTGTATCTCCGCTTGTCACCCGGTGAAATATTGCCGACTGTGGTATCTTTAACTTATTAGCCAATCATTTCAAATATTACTCCGAATTACTTGTAGTACCTTAATATACAATCACGTAACAATGTTACAAACATTCTCGAGTGTTAATAAAAACAGGTAATAAACAGGTAAATACCTTAAATCTGAACTCTCTTCGCCAATCACTGTACTGTTCGATACGTTTAGCGTAGGGTATCCCCAGGAACATGTTGATGCGCCAGTTGAACTTGGTCCCAAGACTGGATTTTATTCTCACCCCTTTCACCTTACCGTATACAGTGTCAGTGGTTACATAGTCTCCGCTGTAACTATAGGCGGAGTTCACTTTTACCACACCCATTAACATCACAAACAACAAGATTAGGGCCCCAACGGGCCCCATGCCCAGTCGTATCATTATTATTCTGCTCTCTTCCGCGTTTGGGCAGCCATTTTCGTGTCACAAACGAATATGGCTGTTATGCTTAAAGGTGTCACGTGATCAAGGTATTTCTCCACACCTGTGTTCAGGTGTGTCAAGAACGATAACTCATGTGCGATCTGATTCCGATTTTACTCAGCTCAATGTCAGTTGTTCGTATTCGCTAACCAGTTTACATAAGTTTGTCGTTATTAATAACTATTTATGGAATTATAGTAAACTACGGTTATAACGAACACGCTTATAACGAACTGACGGATATAACGAACTTACTTTTTTAGTCCCGACTATTTGCTGTAGTTATGCTGTATATATGCTTATAACGAACTACGATTATAACGAACTAAAATTAGTAGTCCCTTTGAGTTCGTTATAACCGTACTTTACTGTAGTTTCGTTTTCCGTTAAACTTATAGAATGAATCGTAATATTTGTGAAAACTAAACGGATGCTGAAGATATTGATGTACACTGTACATTCTCTCAAAAACGACACTTTGGAATTAGTGTGATTATGAAAGATACATGTGTAGTTTGTAGTGCTGATTTCCAGTCTAGGTCTAGAGGTTGTGTGGACATCAGAAAGTGTCTGTTGAACAGATCGATTGATACACACCAGGAAAGGGGGTATACTAATCAAACATTTTACGTACAACTGGTCTGATTTTAGTTCCAATTTAAAGTGTGTGTGGGAGTGAATGCTAAACAGTGTTCGAAATACCTGCCTGCCCGACCGTCCGAGACGGGTTGATTTCAACTCGGGCTGTCAGATTTTCAAATCCCCCTGCCCGACGGTCGGGTTATATTTCATATGTAAAAATATTCTAAATATTTCCGGATGATAAGCATTATTTACATGATGTATTCTAGGATATTAAATACAAATCTAACCTAAAAAGTGTTTGCTATTTCTTTTCTTGCATTACTTCATGTTCAATGAATTCGATTTAAAGTTTTAATTAAATTATCCTGAGAAACATATGATTATAGTGGGCAGGCAGGTTTTGGTCAGGGCTGGCAAGTATTTCAGCTAGCCAGTCCTGTGGTCTGGCTGAAATTTTTTGGAGTTTCATACCCTGCTGCTAAAGCAATGTTCTATCTATATCACGTCGGTCTGACACACGAATTTAACAATTATCTCTTTCTTATTCATGTAGTAATGCTTTCTGTCGACCAGAACCGGACATAGAAGCCCCTGTAAAAGAAGGAGCACCATGCCCCAACTATGCATTAATCGTGGTTATTACTTGTAACTGTCCATAAATTAATAAATAACACAGATATGGGATAAGTGTGTGTTATAAATTAATTCTTACCTCCGTGCGTCGATCATAAAGATTTTACTGTACTCGTGCTAGAATTCAAGTAGATGTAGTCCCATCGTTCTCGCTCAGGAAATGGGGCACGGGTGGCCCAGTCGTCTTAGGCGCCGCGATTCGCTGTGCAGAGTTGCGCCAGAAACCTATGATTGTGGGTTCGAATCCCGGTTCGCCCCAATTATATTTCTAGGTTTGTCAGCACCATACCCGTGCACGTCGGTTTCACCGAAGTGGTAAACGTCTGAGACCTGCATCACTTCGGGCTTTCCTCCCACATTAAGCTGACACGCCGCGATATAAGTGGGATACTGTTAAAAGCGGCGTTAAACCCAATTCACTCGCTCGATATGCTTGTCGTAAGAGGCGACTAACGGGATCGGGTGGTCAGGCTCGCTCACTTGGTTGATGCATGTCATCGTATCCCAATTGCGTGGATTGATGCTTATGATGTCAATCACTTGATTGTATGGTCCAGACTCGATTATTTACAGACCGTCGTCATATAGCTGGAATATTGCTGAGTGCGGCGTTAAACAACAAACCAACCAACTCACTCACTCGGGAAATAGCCACATTTCGATATTCGTTTTACAAAATTTTAGTACGTCACACACACACACACACACACACACACACACACACACACACACACACACACACACACACATGATAATGAGACAGAAATCTCTGTGGCGGAGAGGTAGCTTAGTGTTTAAGGCGTTGGCTCGTCACGACGAAGACCCGGGTTCGATCTCCCACATTGTTACAATGTGTAAAATCCAATTTCTGGTGTCCCCCGCCGTGATATTGCCGGAATGTACCAATGTTGGGAATCGAACCCGGGTTTTCGGCGTGACGAGCTAACGCTTTAACCATTAAGCTACCCCGCCGCCCCCAACGTTTGCTAGTGATCACCACTGTAAAATTTAATACGTCAAATTGTGTGCATCTGTTGAAATAGCCAAAGGCAACATTGCGTGAAGACATGTATATTCAATTCCGTTGGCATGTGCCACATGATGCCAAACAAACAGCACATGACCAATAATCAGATCACTCGCCAAAATGAGAGTATCTGACCAAAACTGAAACATAAAATAATCATGAACACAAATTTATTGTTCTAGTGAGTGAGTGATTTTGGTTTAACGCCGCTTTTAACAGTATTCCAGTTATATCGCGGCGTGTCAGCTTAACGTGGGAGGAAAGCCCGAAGTGATGCAGGTCTTAGACGTGTACCACTTCGGTGAAACCCACGAGCACGGGTATGGTGCTGACAAACCTAGAAACATAATCGGGGCGAACCGGGATTCGAACCCACAATCATAGGTTTCTGGCGTGCCCAAGGGACGCAACACTACACAGCGAATCGCGGCGCCTTAGACGACTGGGCCACCCGTGCCCCCATTTATTGTCCTAAAATACAAACTCTCAGTAGCGCGTATGTGATCCATTTGATGCGACACAGCCTGGCACCGTCGTCTCGTAGAGATGCCGGAAGGACAGAGCTTCGTGAGAGGGCGATCTTCAGCTGGTTCCACATGTTCGATAGGATTGCGGTCTGGTGACCGGACTGGCCACTCCATGCGGACAATGGTCTCCTGATCTAAGTAGACATCAATGACCCTGGCACGATGAGGTTGTGTGTTCTCGTCCCTGAGGATGAAGTCCGGTCCGACTGCACCTGCATATGGTCTCACGTACACAGCCAGAATGTCATCCCTGTAGCGTTAGCTGGCATCGTGTCAAACATACGGGTATGGTGCAGACGAATCTGTTAATGGAGAACCGACTCCATCGTCTCGTGGTAGCGCGAAAGGTCCGGGTTTGATCACCGGCCGCGTCATATCAAAAGACGTTAAAAGATGGCACTTGTTACCATGCATAGCGCGGTATAAGGGCTTAAAACAAGGACTCCTCGGGTCGGAGTCAGTATATTGTGTCTGAGTGGGGTATTCATGTTAAACCGCAGCATGGTATCTCAGTGGTCTAGCACTATAAATCGGCATCAGTCCGGACTAGTACAAGCAGCCACACATACACCTGCATGCACGTCGATATATAAGTGCAATAATCTTGAACGCGACGTTAAACCCCATTTCACTTCATCATTAATGGAGAAGTGGAATAAACTGTACACATAGCTCGCGAAGCTATGTCGTCACAATTCGCGCCTGGGTCCTATAAATCGGTTGACGAAAATATAAACACAAAATATGACACAATATACAATTTTTCAAGGAATACGACTGCCAATGGCATACACACGCCCACCCACACCTATATTAAATATCATGCATACCTTATCATATTTGACTTGGATTATTATTGTCAATGTTTCTCAAAGATATTTGTTTATTACAGAACAGTCTGTAATGAGAACAGAATGAGACAATAATACAAGCACCCTTTCACGAACACCTGGCATCATTATTATATAATAGTGATTTATAAACACATGTTCATGATGACGTCGAACGCGTACATATGGAAAAGGGCTTTGCCGTTTTTATTTAAATGCCAGAGAAGATTAAAGCAAATGTGCATTGGCAGCATTTTTGTTACATTGGAAGCTGTATAGTGTGGGTTTTTTAATTCCATTTTTATTCCAGTCATACATCAAAAGACATTACCTTTTGAAATACATGACCGATTAATTAAACAGTTTTCTGTCCCTTGATATCAACAGGGTGGGTAATGCTATATTGTCCCAAATGTACACTGACATTAATATATTAATATATATATGTTTCTGTAAAGATGTCATTGCACTTTTGACCTACCTACAATTAAAAAAAACAATGATTGACGACAGTTCTTGTAAATCGGTGTATGGTATCTGCAACCTTATAGCAATGTAGGTTTTTCAATGAAGGTAATGCGCGGTCGTACTAGAGTTATGTACACAATGTATCATATGCATGATGTATAGATATAACAATGGAATTCGACGACTTCCTGTACGTGATTCAGATAACTTACAACATCGGTTATACAGATAGTCAGTACAGCGAGCAGAGCGGCAATGTACAGAGGGGAAATGAACTCATCTACCTTCTTAATCATACTGGTTTTTGCTAATTTCGTACCATTAACTGAAGCTAACACTACAAAACACCAAGTCCTCGAGACACGTAGACTGGGGATCAAGCAGTGTCTGGACTTGTGTCTCCAGATTGTGCAGATAGGATACAACCGAGAGCAACTGTTGTGTCAGCTTCTTGAACCCGGAGACCTGCAGGGTTGGTGCATCAGGAAAACAAGCTCAGATAAGGTGATTACAGTGAGAGAGTGTGGGAGTGAGAGAGGCGATGTGCTTAACACGTTTTGAAAACTATTTAAGGCAGATCAGAGTTACATATAATATAATCTTGGATTCGAAACAACATTTACATTTTCTTTGTTAATGAAATATTTAATAGTTTCATATTTGTAATTTACCTCAATGTTGTGTGTCCAACCTTGTGCCGTGGGAGACAGGTGCCTAACGTCAAGGACCAAGGGTCGAGTGTGTGCGCCTACAGGGGTGGTCAACACAATCAAAGCCTCAACAAATACAGCTGCCAAACACAGGCCTTCATACCCCGTAGCAGGAAACACAACGTGTAAGAGTTGACGTTTTTATCAATTCATAGTATTTGGCGCAAGATATGGTTCAAATGTTATGTTTACAAAGTGAAACCCTTTTATTCTTTCACTATTGAAATAACACGGAAAAAACAAATTTGAAACCAAAGGAACTATA